ATCGCATACGAAAGTAAAAGTTATCTGATTCCCGTTAGATTTAAAATTTACGTGACAACCCCAATCACATAACCCGGCTACCATTACCAGGAACTTACCTGTCTCTAAACTAAATCCTAGATTTCGGCAAATGCCACGTAGACAACTGCAGGATGGAAAGACCCCCATCAAGGGTGTTTTGAAGAACATTACCACAATGTGTGAAACTTCGTACTGTGGCGTTCGGTCCTCATTGAGCCTCACTATGAAAGGCAATACGATTGTGAATTGACAATCCAGAGCGATTGCTTTGGTGCTCATCAAACGCTAATGTGTTGACATGCATCTAAAACTCCGAATGGGAACAAGTAGATTAAAAAATGAGTGGAATACCCTAACAATCATTACAACGAAGGAACTAAACCTACCATATTCTACCATGATTTACCAAGCCAAGTGTAGGATGCTCTCGTGCATTGAAGCTCTCATTTAATTCACTTGTAACATTTATACTATAGCAAGGAACATATTATAAATTTCAAGCTCAAAACTCTTAATTGAATTTTTCAATTCCGTATTGGTTTTGACTAACCTGAGTGTTCAACATATCCTTTCCTCCATATGTGTATGTATATATATATATATATATATATATATATATATAATATTAACCAACAAAGCCAGTACTATCATCTCATTCATATACTTGCTTTTCGAATCTATAAAATTAAATGAGCTTTGTCTTGATGAGATACATTAACAGATTATGAAGTAAATTCAGCTTCTCCACTGGAGTATATATTTCAAACCAGATTTAATCACTTAATTATTCTAATTTTTTATGAAGTTGTAGGTCAAACCTCTCACACACTGCATCCATTTATTGCAAATAATTACTGTGTACTATATCTATAAAATCAACAATAAAACTTTAATTTATTCATATATTGTAATAATTTTTAAATGTCCTGGGGTTCATTTGTTTTGGAGTTTGTGGTCCTTTCATATTTAATGTTCATGTCAAGAAACTCTATAATAAATTTCGGACATTCGTAACATCACTGTTTGATATAAGAATTAAAGAATATATATATTTTCTGATTTTTTTTTTAGATATGAAAAACCTTGTAACTGGCATTTGCGTCATCTTCAGTTTATTACTGTAATTATATTTTATTGGTGAATTGTTCATGACAGGCTCATCAAAAGATATCGTTAGTATTAAAAAATGTTTTTCTTGAACTAGCCAGGACCGTTCCTTTTTCTTCGTGTGTTTTACTATAGCACTATGTTTGTTTGAAGAAAAAGACAAATGATAGAAAAATATTCAAAAATCATGGATCAGGTTATTGAGCATGAATCGAAAATGCCTTCAACCAACTTATCAAAGTTTCGATTTTGGGACAAATAAACTTCCACAATGGAAAAGAAGCTTCCAAACAGTCATTAACATCAACTCTGACCCTTCAATATCGTTTCAAAAACGCTGAACGCATCTTCAATTCACAAAACGTTTATAAGACACTTATTCCAGCTTCGGTTTTACAAGAGGAAGTTTTGTTAATTTTTCTTAAAGATGGGCCTTTTCATCAGTTGTGAATCTTGATGTATTTACATCGTGTAATAATCACATTCTTCGATCCGAGCATTTCTCAGCCTCTTCAACCAATGATATTACCACATTCATTTCTTGTGCGAATAAAATCAATCTTTGTACTTCGAAATTAAAGATAATACTATGTTTATTTGTTTGCTAATATTACTAAAAGATATTATTTTGGATGTAATATTGACATTTTTATGCTATAAAACCGCCAAATTTGAAAATATTAAACGCGAAGATATTATGTACAAGAATGCATAACTTTCACATATCCTATTTCAGCTCTAAAGTTTCTATATAAAATGGATACAAGAATGATTTTCTTACCGTATTCTGTATGTTGAGAGCCATTTCCACGAAAACATTCTGAAGAATTTCCATCCGATGCAAATTTAGATATCTCGATGACATCTATATTTAATGCTAACTTAATAAGAGCTAATTATTCACTTTCAACATGATTTAGATAATATAAAAATTTAACGGTATTTCAAGATAGATTTGGCTGATTTTCTTTCATTTTGCTACAATTATGAGGATTTTGATTAAATTTCATTTTCATACATGCTGTTCAACGGAAAATTTGTCTTATAAGACTTTAGAAATTAGGTTGTATCTGTTTCATTAGAAATTAGAGTTATGAAAACTCTTTAGAGAACTGTTAATAAAATACGCGTTTGCCAATTGTGTATTAAACTAATGTGAAACTTGTGTTTTTCGATGAAAAATATGTTTTCAATGTAGGGTACTTAAGCCAAGTCTAAATTAAAATCAGAAGATAGTGACTTGGTATAGAGACCACTCAACCCCTTCATCGTATAGATACTGTAATCAGTGTCAGAGGGATGGAGATCCAAAACCTCTAAATGAACACAATGTGAAAGACACTAGTTAAGAAATTGTATATAGAGTGATCTAGTTCATGGACCGAAAACAGAAGGATAGGATTTCCTTCATTGAAAGTCCCTCATCTCAATTGCTTTGTTTCTGCCCCTTGTTACGCAATCCACATCCACTGAGTGCAGCCGGAAGCTCAGGAATCCGGTAGCGGCCCCAGAAGTCTGCATCTTTCTTGCAGTTTCAGCTCCGGTGTTCAAGGAGTGAGGGCTAAGGAAAGATTGTTTAGCATGTTCAATTTCGAACTGAAGGTGTAAAAGTATTGGAATATAAGTTTAGATAGAATAAACCCCCAAAAAATGCCTGTGGTTGTGAAGCTGGCGAATGATTGTCCAGGTGTTATAGGGAATTTGAGAAGAGACCATAGCTGATGTACATATCATGTTACAAGACTATCAACACCAAAAGGTGTTTCTTATATCGTTCCAATGATTGTAAAAAATATTCTGCGGTGGTGCAATTAAAGATATCAAGTGGATAGTAATGCTTTTCGATCGTCGATTGATCCATGCAAAAGCCTAAAATAAGATGGTCCTTGCTGCACTTCAAAAGAAGAGGAAACGATTCCGTCACTGGGTCAATATATCTCACATCACAGAACATAGAAATGCCGTAAAGTTGTACGGTGAAAGGCAGGTCCGGCTCTCCTCACTCCGATAAAAGTTTTCATACATTCTGTTAATTGGGTACAAAAATCAGGTCCTGAATAATCTTGAGTCTCTTATTTCTGGACTTAGATATTTCCGTAATTAGTGTGAGTGTTGAATTGTGTTCATCACAAGAATATCCTACCTGAAGGTAATATACTCATATCATTCGACACAAGGATCTTCACTCTACCAAGTCTCTGAAAAATTATTGCAAGTGTTAAATTGCAAAACACGAACTTCCGCAAAATGTTTTTAAAGTTGAGAAAAGCGCTTGATATTAATTTTAAACTGAGAAGAAGTGGCATTAAAATAATAATCAATGGCGCGAGCTCAACTGGCTCAAGATCACCCCCTTGGAAGAAACCAAGTATGCAAGCATAGAAATGCAGCTACAAGTATTGAACTTAAGACCTCCCAGGGATGAGCAATTACTGAAACAATTGCGCTTCATTATGAGGTCTGTCATGAGAGGACAGCAAGGGTTAACGGAAGTAACCTTAACCTTTAGACACCTCGCACCCCCAATATTTCCTATTCCTGCTTAGTGCGCAGAAAAAATAAGTGTGCATCAAGGAGGTGCACACTAACTCTCAACTGCTGCAACTATTTACTGTGCTGCAAACTAAATGAGGAAGAGGACCATTTGTTACATCAATCAAAGCATAAGGATAGCACGTGAGGATAGGTCGACATAGCTCTTGATTCAGCTGAAAGACCTTGGAACTAGATATTTTCGTCGACAAGGCATAGTGGCTATCATATGTCCACTATGCCTAGTAAACGATCAAATTACAATAGCATGCTTGATGATAGCTGGGCTGGCACAAGAACTGCCGTCTGAAAAATGATAGTTCTATACAACACATGAAACAGCCAACACAAAGGACCTCAGATTTAATTTGGATTTCAATGAAACGATGGCTTCACGCAGCTTTATCTCTTCTTGCCTGTGATCCTCGATACTTGTTCCTAGTGGTCTGAAAGTGTTTCTTAAGAGAGAGAAAAAGCATACAAAAGCTCAGAGCCACGATCTTCTGTCTGTGGCTTGCAGATCTCAATTCTGTCATGATATAATAGGGAATAGTAAAGACATACGAAGTCTACGAAACTCCTCACATCGTTCACATTGAACGTACAGACAGAAGCACAGTCGTGAACATGAATCTAATCAATGTCATCTATTGTGTGCGAAAGGTTTTGCGAATTGCGATCCAGCATGTGGCAAAGAAAAAGAAGAGGATTCAGTAGATGCAAACCACAGTTTTCTTAGGAACGAGATCTTTACATGCATGGTGTGTTTTTTCTTTGCCTGCACGGATTATACAATGTTGGGGATCACGCCTTTCTGTCGATAGACCTTGAAATCAGTCCCTTGTACCTCCAATTGCTCAGCAGCCGAGAGATCTGAAGCATCATGCTTCAGAACTGCTTCAACCCAAACTTCCCTAATTAGAACAAGCCATGCTTATTACGTGTTGCAGCATTCAGATCTTCCAACACAACAAGGATTTCAGATTTGGCAAAAATTGACAATTTCCTCCATAACTTGCCCTACTGACTTGAAATGTGCATTATAGTAGAGCAGGACATGGTCGACACTAAGAACAATATACCGACTGTGCCTTCCGTAGTTGGAAAGATCGCCACCTAGTCCCTGACCATTCCGACTCGGAGTCCTGAGCTAGTGAAGTAGCGAACGGATAACACCGAAGTTGGCTAATATTCGCAATCCAGAATTTATGAAAACTTGAGGTGGTAAGCCTTGAGATAGATGATGATAGAAAAGACGCAAGTACATTTCGGGCTGTCTGTAAGATCATATCAAAGTTTATGAAACAATCCGTGCGGAATTTCATTGGGTACAAATCAGATGGGTTCAAATCATTTAATCTTAGTAAATTGATGTATGATGTGGAAACAAAGAGCCAGCAACCCAAGTGGCTCAGTGAGTTTGTTACTCAATTGGCTTGAGGTAAATATCAATGAAATCTCTCTTTCAATTTCCATTCGTCTTTTGCTGTAGTTAAGAGAAAATATTCTAGAACATGCTCAAGGTCCGATGCTTATTTCATGGAATTGTACAGTATATGTTTTCAAACTAACACCCAACCCATATATAAATTGCAATAACTTCATCGAGAGGGTACACTGATTTAGAACAAAATTAAATTCTAAGGGTGGATGTTTGGGAACGAGGAGATAAAGTGACTTTGAGGGAGGACTGTCGTGAGATGAATGGCTAGACTCCCAAGCGAGCCGATTGATCACCCATGGACAAAAGCATACGCTCCCTAACAGCATTAACGACACGACTCCGAACGAAACATCTAACGACTTTGCGTAAGGATCTGATACGAGATTCTTGCATGGTCGTATCGCAGGGCATATAAGTGCATAAAAGCATAAAACCTTCGAGAATTCGCGACTGTCGCGTTCTGATCGGATTGATATTCGTATATCCTACTCTTCTGAATCCTGATTCAAAGTGCTTGTAACGAGTGACGCAAACCAGCTTTAACGAAAGCTTTGGAGCCTAGCAACCCTCCATCGTACGTGGTTGGATTCAGCCATGGACGACTTGTTTGCCGGGGTCTTCCCATCGATTTTGCAATATCTCTTCTCGTCTCCAATACTGCTTTGACGAACACATGTCTATGTAAGAGTCGTGCCTTTTCGACTGACAGAATCTGCCGTGCAGCTCTTTTCAATTTGACTCCAAGTTTCTGATTTCAGACGTCCTCTGTGTGGTTCTAGACCCCATAGCGTGACCTATTGGATACCTTGTGTGGAAAACTGCTGCAGTTACTTTGTAGATCCCAGAGCACATAGCTAGGGGCACTCGAGTCACATCGAGTCATGATTTCCTCATCCTGCACCTTCTTGCCGTCCCTTTTGCAAACTCATGTGTGACATAATGGCATGCTCCTCCAGATCACAGATCTGGACTTGGACCCGATTTGGTTCAGGGCTTCAAGTTTCCATAGTTTCTCTTTTTCCTGGGCTTTCCATCGTCGGTCGACCGTTTGGGTACTTCCTGCTTATCTGCACATTCATTATATCTTACCATCTGCACAAAGTGATTTTGTGCATGATCGGTTGAAAATTGGTGCGGTGGATGAGTTTTTATCCGGGCTTTCCTTTACGTGTCAACCACACAATGGGTCGATGGATTGTCCCTACCACATTCGCTCTGCAACGCATCATGTCCTTCTCTTCACAACGAAGATCGTTCGTCAGCCTATCGATGTTCTGCTTACTCCTCAGGCCTTCACAGCGCTACTCTAGACTGAAGAATGTAGTCCTGCTTTTCATTTTTCTTATAACAGTATTCAAATCAATCCACTCTATATATATAAATATATATATATGAATGATTTGTACTACTTTACTCGACGCATGTGTATCATGGATTCAAACAGTCGATTGGAAAAGTAAAAGAGAAACGTGGAATGAACTTTCATGAACCGTGAAAGTGGATCTCGAGAATACGGCGAGGCTGAAGAGAACGCAAGTGTAAAGGAAAGAGAGAATGCTACGTCATTTTGTGAAACAGTCTACGGACATGCATCCTGCACGCAAATGACTCACTACTCATGAACGGTTTCCAATAAACTTCACCAATCGCAATGGCTACATGTAGGGAATTGCAATGATAATATGTATAGTTATGTAATACGGTGACAGCTCAATGAAAGTTTCAAAAAGACAGGGAAAGTTATATGAAGATACTTGAAGCGATATGATAAAGTACTGTTTCACTCTTATTGTCTACCAGGTGCAATGGATATATATAGTGTAGAGTGACAAAAGTGAAGTTTTGATTTCTCTATCTTTTAACGTAGAGAATTCATAAAAAATATGGCACAACACTAGAATCATGATCAGACCAATCAAAAGGTCTTACGTATATTCCTTGAACCAAAACTTTTCCATAAATGGATGTCAATGTTTTTCCAAAGAATGCTTAACCTCATTGTCAACTGAAACACTGTGGAACACATCCCACTGTCATATTTACTTATTTCTGATGTACTATATACAAAAAAGTCAAGAGACATATGTTATTTTTGGTTTTTGAAAAATAGTAAAATATCAACGCAATTATGGGAAGTTAATTCTCATATATATATATAATTTAATATGAAATGGCCAAAAGAATCAGTTATTTATGAAATAGATTTGAGATAGAATAGGATAAATAAAATATTTATCCAAAATCTGCGCTATTCACGAAGACTTTTCTTATTAGATAGCGATTTCTATTAATAATTTGATACACATAAGGGTAAATTTTTTAAAAAAACTAGCAATATTTGATTTATCTATTATCCTTTATATACGATTGAATCTCTGATTTGTGCAGATCATAAACTTATTGTTAAAGTCAAATAATCATGTGCATGTCATTAATATATTTCATTTGGATCTATAAATATACTCAGATCTATTCTTTATAGTATACAAAATATGATGTTTAAATAAAATTTAGTTATTTCTATCCTTGTAGCATTGAAAAATATCTTTCTAAAAGATACACTACGATAGCCAATAAGTTATCACAAAAAATCTGACAGCATTACACCTGAAGAGTTACGATGCAACACCATCTCAACTATATTTATTACTATTATTGATTCCGAATATAGTTTCAACTCATAATATATAAACTAAATATATAACTCATATGGTTTTGGAGCTCTAACTTGCAATAAAATGTATGTGACTATAAGATAGAATGTCTTGAAATAAAATTCTCATTCTATTATCAAACTTGTAAAATTAAATGACAAAAATAAAATCGTATGTGCTCATGTATTTCAAATATTATAAATTTTATCCAAATATAATTTTAAGTATATATTAAGATTAGAAAATTATTCTCTTGTATTTACTTGTAACTTATGAAACTGATAGTATATGAAAATAATTAGCACATACAACATGAATATTTGGCAAGTTATGAAATTATTCTTTTTCGTGTAAAAATTCTAACATCTAAATTTTGATATTCTGACAGCTTATACACATGCCTCATAATAAAGCCATACAACATAATTACGAAAATAATATCAAAGCAAAAGAAATGCAAACACCTTTTTCCCAGCTTTAACGTAAATACGTAACCATATATATTTTTAGTTATGATTTGAAAATTTCTATAGCTTTGAGCGTGCTTTCTATTTCTATCTTATATAACCTTGGGTTGGAACATTTTAAAACACTAAAACACAAGATATGTGGAGAAAATCTATTGTCTCCTTGTTTGTATGAAATAGTAAATCATAAAAATTGGTATAAATTTTGTTGTTAACAATGCACTACAACAGATAAAATATATCTTTAATTGTGTTTTATCAAAGAGAAAACAATTATGGCACAAAGAAAAATTTTGGAAGATGTAATAGTTAAGAACTTGAAAGTGAAATGATGCAAAATATGAAAAACGTTCATGTACAAGGTTTTGTGGTCATGGAATTTTGTATGTGTTCCAATAGCATATTTCTAGATATCTCAAATTTTTTTAAAGAAATGAAACATGAAATTGTTAATCATATACGTGTGTGATCTGTAATTTAAGAAAAATTTTAATGCATTATAGTCCAAAATTTGTTCCAAAAAAAATTTAGTTACTTTACATAGCTGCAGGATAATTTCTACTTATCTATCTAGTTCATTCCATTTTAGAGCGTTTTCATCATTTGTATTGCTCTATATTTTAGAAGCATTAAACATACATTAGCTACAAATCAAACTTGCAAATGAATTTCTCTCAAAACAAGTATAGCCGAAGGTGATATATGATAAAAGATTCTGTTATATTATATAATTTATGCTCCATACACATGATTCTATATTAGAAATGGTTTAAGATGCATTTAAATTGCTCATACTTAGACTAATACAATATAAATATGTATCACTCATCATGAACAAAATTCAGATTTTCTTAAATGACTGATATATTTATCTTGAATAATCATCTGCATTAAATTTCTGAATCAAACAACCATGAAAATTCCATGTCAAATCCTTCATAAAAACATTCCTTTTATTCAAGTATATTGCTATCTTTCACATGCTCAAGTACGAACTTGTTGATGCTTAAGATAAACATCGCATATTGACCAAAAAAAATTTTCACTCGCGAATGTCGTTGAGGGAAGGTTTATCATTATTCATATGTTATAAGGACATTTTTAAATAAAAATGAAAAAATGTGAAGAAAAAGGTCATCACATTGAATTAGTAAAGCTCTAGCAAAATTGATAGGAAACTGAACTAACCTAATGTTCATTTGATGTTATCAAAAGGTAAAAATTGCCTCTCATTACTTATGATAAATAATTTAGGGAACGGCTATCGCTCACTTTAGGCAAATACTCCCTCAGCATACTATACTAGGGTAAGGGATAATTAGCCAACTTAGCCAAGTATGTGTTATCAGTTTAGGTTAGATTTTCACCAAGAACCGGAAGCTATTGTAGTCAGAGTAGCCTTTCGGACTCAGACTATTGTCACTAGAAGCCCATCACTACAGAGCCAGTCTATGACTCTAGTAGGGTCATTATTCTAGCCGAAAACTCAAGCAAACTCGGAGCTCGTGCCCATGAGAATAGATCCAAGAGCTGTTTTCTACGCAGGAAATGAATATGCAAGTTTGTATTCGATTGGCTTTCCATTCTCTAAAAAACATTTGACCACTTCATGAAGCGTTTCATCTCCACCGACTTCAATGACGGCCGCGGCTCCGTCTCAGATGGCCTCCCGCGCAAGCTGAGTGGCATGTTGAGGACTTGCAATGAGTTTTTTCAAAATATACCAATTGTTGCCCATGCAAGCTGTCAATTTGGGAATCACCTTCTTCCATTAATCCCCCGATCTTCAATTGGCAGCGTTCGGGTCGACTATGAAGACATAATTTTGGTTTCGGATGGTCTCGTGTGACGGAGTTTTCATCAGCATCACAGAATGCAAAGACAAAAATCTCGGAGCTTCTACTTTCCAGAGACAGACAATTACTCGGTTACAAGCCTTCCGGACTTGTATTATTATCACCGGCAAGGGTCCGATACAAAATTTGTCCGACCATTTTGCTGACTTGGCTAATTATCCCTCATCCTAATATAATAGGGTGAAGTAAAATTAGCCTAAAGTGAGAAATGAAATCGTCGCTCCCATAAATTAGTAAGTATCTATGCACTAAAATTCATATTTTTAATTACTAACATGAACAAGAAGTTTATGTCAAATTCATGTAAGATAATATGAAATCTATGAAGTGAATTCACAAGTTTAACAATAACTAACAACTATGATATTTTCTTTGATGATTTATTTGAAACGTACATATCATATTTATGAAAAATATATCAAAATCTTTGAAGTAAATTTCTAAGTTCATCAAATTCTAAATTGTAGTATTTTTTTGAATAAAAAATATGATATGTTTGTTTGACTCAAAATCATGACTCTTTTGTTTGATGGTTTATTAGACAATGTTAAATATTTTTTATGGTGGCTATGGATAAAATCTTAAGAAAAACACGTTCACAAGTGAGATGTTTTTGTAGTTGTTGTTGGTGGATGGAATATTTGGAGATATATATTCCAGTAATGTATCTCTCAATCAATTACAAAATGTACTATAATACATCAATAGAAGCAACAAAGAACAAAGCAATCTACGTAATTGAATAGATGTATCACTAAAATGAGATTAAGCATATTGTTGTCAATCTTGAGTTTGATAATCAGAATGCACTACATCTTGCAGCAAATTAAATTGGAAATGCAGATGGATATTAGAAAATCATTTTATCAAGAATAAAACTTCATACAAAAAATTGAAACTGTCAAAATTTACTAGAAATATAATTTAATTGATATTGATGTATTGAATAAAGTGAATATTTTGTAAAGTCTCAAAAAAACATCAAAACTCTTGCAGTTTGTGCATAAGGAGCAAAAGTAGTTTAGAAGAAAAACCTGTTATCTCTACATATAAATTTTATTCTATTTTGGTTTGTATACGGTTTAATATCAATTAATTTAATAATAAATCTATGTTAGGCCTTTTTTGTAAAATTTTAAATTAAATAAATCATATCAATTTTAGCATTACATATCTCAAGACATGAATCAGGAGTTTTTTGGCACGAATTAATTCAGCTTAGTTTTGTTCAAAAATTATTATTAAAATTAATAAAATAATCTTTATTATGAATTCTTTTTGCTATTAGAGATACTTATTTAGGGTTTTTCAATAAAATATTCATGTTTCTATGCACTATAAAGATGAATCACTTTTTAGTAAACCAACTTTATTACATAGTTTTGCTTGCATAAAGTTAAAATTTTATTTTATATTGTGAACTATTTTAAAGCAAGTATATGGTATTAGTGATAAATATTATAATCAAGTTGTAAGTTATTGTAAAATTTTTTAGAAAAATTATATGTAAGGATTTGTTATATATGATTAAAATCCTTTAAAATTCTTATCTTAGAACATTCATGAGTTGCTCGTAAATTTTTCCTATTTAAGAATTAAAAACATATCGTTATCACATTACATATCTTAACATCTTCTTCCAACTTTAAACAGTAATTTTAATAAATGTGTAGAAGTTATTTGCTGAAGTATTACTACAGAAAAGTTTCCAAATAATATATTTTACGAAAAAGAATTTAGTATTAACGTACTATATTAAATTCATATTCAAAATTTATCACACCTATTTGCTCTCTCATTTTCAACAAATATGTACATGAAAGCATAGTGTCAGATCATCATTTCAAAGTGAATGTACAATACCTTTTTTTCTTCATTATTGTATTATACTCGTCACAATAAAGGTTAGCATATGAAGTATATATGATCTATCATTATTTTTTTCATTAAATTACATTAGTCACTAACATTATTTCAACTTTTAAGTTATGTATTGATGTTATTATAGTCTCTTTATGAAAAGTATTTAATAAATTTTTTTAATGCTTGTAGAAATTTTGGCTATTATATTATAAGCATATCATCAAATAATGAAATAACATCATATTTTGAAGATACATCTAGTATTATGAAAACTAAGAAGTTTTTTTAACCTCTTGGGTCTAATAAAGTAAAAGAAATTGCCATTTGTTAATATTGGGAGCCAGTTACATGTTTGATTACATTATTTGTATTATTGAACTATTTGTACATGAAAAACTAAAGTAGCTAATGAAATTAGATTGAATTATTAGGACTTCCGTGAAGTTATTTACTATTTCATTTATTAGAACTGTGAAACCTATATCTTGTGCTCTCTACCTATGGCTAGTTGATCTTTGCCCAAAGCCATACTTAGCTCAAACATGTCAAATTCTTTCACACTTGGTGCAAAGTTCACCACAGTAAATATGCCATAAAGATATTGATTTGATGAAGTACATTTCAAATTTGTTCCAAATTTGTTTTAAGAGATCTTTGTTAAATTTGAAAGTTTTATGCATATAAAGAAACATTTGAAAATGCATGAAAAGATTAAAATAAATTTGGTCTAAATTAGATATGATATCAATAAAAGAATTTGAATCAATTGACTACATTTTTATATTTTTTTTAAGGCAAATCTTCAAATTAATAAGTGTTTTGAATGATTACTTGAAGGTTGTTAGAGTTTTGAAATATCAGTTATAATTTCAAAGTAACAAATTTTTATAATTTAAGTTGATTGCATCAACATAATTTTGAATACAAGGTTGTTATCAAATCAAATTTGGTGTATATAAATTTTTAAATTGAAAAAATAAGAAGAAAATTAAATTTAAAGTCTACATACCATTTGAAAAATTTTAGATTCAATATAAAGAGTGATTTAAAATATTTGATATCTTTTACATAAACTAATAATTAACTTTTTTGAAATAGAAAATACATAAATTTAAAATAAATCAAATATTTTCTTATATTATTTTTCATGAAATTGAAGAAAAAAAATTTATAAAAAAATTTATAAATTTGAATTTTGAAGATTTTAATATTAAAAATCTGAAAAAATGAATACTTAAAAATGATAGAAAGAAATACTTGATCAATTTAAGTGTTCAATAGATAATGAATTTCATTATTTTATAAACATAATAACAAAAAATAATTTTTTTATTTTCTGTAGTTTTTTTAATTTTCACAAAAATGAAAATAATATCCAGTAGTATATTGGAATAGATATATATACATCAATCACTACATGGAATGGAGATAATTCAATGTATTTATCATTTTAACAATACATCAGGAGGTTAAAATTTGATAAAGGACATACATATGACAAATCTTCAGTGAATTTTCTTCACATATAGATATAGACAAAGTAATAGATTTATCTCTATATCACATAAAACTTTTATATAACTATTGTACCCTATTTGGCTTTGGACCAACTTACTTCATAATTTCCAAAAAAGTTCGCAACATTTGACTAGATCGACTACCTGTAAATTATGTCAATTTCACATTTATGGACTATCTTTCTTCGGCCATGGACCGCTCACATTAATTTTCATAATAGTGCATCTTTCAGAGATACTAGTGGTGAAAGCTCGTTATTTTCAGATTACCACTTTTTAGCATACTTCGCTTTCTTGAAGATTCGTATCACATTGCGATCATCCAAAAATTCACGTTTGTGTTTAACGTACGCCGTAATGACAGCAAATAAAATGGCATAAAACTTCTGTGTCAAGAATATATTATTGAAAACATAAGAAAATATCCAAAGCTCGAAATTGAAGTCGTTGTTGCTTACTCCATTTCCATTGAGGCAGAAGAGAAAATGGTCTGTACTTGGAAACCAACAGTCCATTTCACACTTGAGGGCTAAATTGCAACCAAAAAAGTAGACACATTTTATGCATTTAAACAACAAAATTCTCAGCAACGAGCAAACACGCCATTGAGCTTTACTACTGCATGGCTTCGTAAATTATTTACAGTGGTTTCGCCTCTACTAAAGAGCGAACAGTCGCATGTAGCTTCATCACCTTGACGACCTTCGTGCGCCTACGAGGACTAAAATATTATGTACATGGAACGGTGGCCTGTCAATCAGAGCTATCCGCTGCCTGCCAGCCCTTAGTTCATTCAAAGGAAGATGATCGGAGTTGGCATCCAGGGAACCCAGATTCGCGGATTCCATCATAAAAGGCTGTGAAGAACACCCAAATGCGACCTGCGTGTCGGATCGATCACTACTGCGGTACTTCAGTCTCTGTTACAAAAAGAGGTGGAAGAAAGCAGCACCACTCACCTCTGTTACTCCATTTAGATCGAGAAAAATGTGATGTCGTCAGATGAACAAATTTCAAGAATATTTGAGCCCTGCAGGCTTCACTGTTGGACGAAGACAGCACTGAGGTTCTCACCACTATGGCTATGCTAAAAAATTTGTCCATGTCGCAAGGAAGAAAACATATGAAGATAGGCCATGCTGCTTCAGGGTCATGATCACAAATATGAAGTATTCTTACCGTGACTTGAGTCTTCACTGATCACTTTCAAGCTCGCCAACTCGAAGAAGACGACGATACTAATAACCGTCATCAACAACTCAGTCCGTCTTCTTAGATTCCTGTCAATTGACAAGTAACGTCAAGTTCCATCTTAAAACTCATCAAAAGTTGACCTTCTCCCTCTTTTGCTGGCGACCATGATTCTTCCAGGTCCTTCTTGTAAACTTCACAGGTGATGTAGCATTCATTCCTGCAAATTCTCCACAGAGAGCTGTGGCTGGCCATTTTATCACATTGATGTCGAAGACTCCAAAAACAGCTACACAAGGAAAACAACTCGGCTTCAAAAACTCAGGGAGTCGCCTTCTAGAGATATCTGATATAGGATCGCACCTTCACAAAGAGATTTGCATTGCAACACACGAGATTTTGCACACAAGCTACGAGGGTCCTTTTTTCTTCTTCTACCTCGCTCGAAGCCAGCTTGGCCTGGAAAACCTTGTCTAGTTGAAAGTTGAAAAAAATAATCATGGGCTCTGAAGTCCTGAGAAGCTTCGTATCATGATGGACGTCCTCTTACTTGCTTAGGGTTTCCAGCATTCTGAATATCATCCTCATCAACGACGTACACCTTATCCAGGTCTCCGATCAAATCGCAGCTCGAAATTTCGCCGCCGTCTTGGTTCAATACCTTCTTACCGTGCTTGCCAAATTCGTGAAACGCCAAGTCCAGAAGTTCGTCGACGGTCGAGCACACCCATTCGACTTTTCCCAGAGTTCTCAGCTTACTGGGAGTCCATGGATGGTAGGGAAATATGGTCGCTCGCCTGCGGGGCAAGGGGTTCATGCGAGCAAAATGTGATTGCTCGATCGTCTGCCCAGAGAAGCCCACGGTCCTAGCTGGCAGTGTGCGGTACTTGGCAGCCAGGCCTTCGGATGACGTGTCGGAGAGATTACTGCCACGTCGACCTGGACCTGCCACTCCCAGAGTGACCAGTCTTTCCAGGCGTCTCTCCGAAGCAGGCTGCCGTTCTATGGAGAGAGAAGACTCGGCCGATCGAATGGTTCGAGGAGATGTTGCTGTCGGTCGTGCTAGTCGAGGCGACGTTCCTGCAGATGATACCAGCCGTGGCGACGATTCTTTTGTTTCGACTAATTTCTGTGATTCCTGCCCATTACTGTCACTTTCGGCGGACTCTGCTGCCACACACACACACAACGCACATAACAAATCATCAGAACCTTGCCACCGTCGTCATTTTCCAAACTGGTTCCAAGGAAAGCAGATTCTGCAGCTCGCTGCTCGTCGCTGCTTCTGGGCATGAATGGATTCTACCTTTCGCAGCAGCGGTCAATTTTCTCGTCCGCACAGTCGATTTCCAGTCGCTTATAGTTTTAACGAGATTCCGCTTCACCGCAGCCTCTTTCAATATGGGAATTATGGATGTCCGGTTATGCAGAACGGCTTCGTCTAATGGCGTCCTACCCCATCTGCTTCCACAGCCACAACCCAGTTAATTTTTCTTCTGACTAAGTGGCTACGCGTAGCGCTGCCCCGATTGTGGGAAGTTGTCAGGTGTAGGACATGTCTAGATGCCTGCCAGCACGTTCAGCCATTAAAGGAAGTTTCACGAGGAGGGCCACTGAACAGAAGACGAGGTGATGGGTGTTGGGACCTGAAACTGGAACTGGAACTGCAGGACTGACTTGGAGAGACAGAGAAACATCACACAGAGCAGCGAGCACCACCCTCGTGTGTCTGGCATAGAAAATGCGTACCTGTCCTGCGCAAAGACATCTGCTTCGGAATCAATCAACATTTTAGCGACCTGGAATGCACCCTCTGCTGCTGCCAAATGTAGGGCAGTGCGTTTATCGTAGTCTGTTGCGGATATTGACACGCCTGCTTCTATCAGACGGCGCAATAGCTCGTTATTTCCAGTCATTACTGTTTGACATAAGAAGCTGCCCGATTCTTTTAGATGTAGCTCGGCTCCATGGTCTAACAATATAGCTATAGTGCGATCATGCCCACCTTTCACTGCCTCTAACAGGGGTGTGCATCCAAATTTATCTGAATGCAAAGAGACACCAATGTCAGCAATGATCCAACATTCATCAGACGGCACGGATTGCTGTCCATAAATCTAATAATAACTCTCCGACAGATTCGTTCTTTCGAAGAGTAAATCTCTACAGTATCGAACATGCTGTGAGTTTGTGGAAGGCATGAGCAAAGTGTTGAACTCACAGTGATTTCTATTCTTAAACCGATGACACCACATGTGGTGTTGTGAAGATGTGAAAACTAGTTCAGCTGCAAGCTCTGATACGATGAGTGAAAATGAGGATAAAAGAGAGCGTGTGCCACGCACCTATGGCATTCAGATCAACACCTTCCCGAATAAGAAAATGTACAACGGCATCATAACCTTTTGATGCTGCCAAGTGCTGCAGAACCACGTGAAGTACTTGTTGAGATGGAAGGTACTAATGGCAAGGTTCTTGGAAGACAACTTGTTCAATCATCACGATGCTCAAAAAGATCTGCAGATGCTTGAAACATGCAAGACATACAGCAACATAATCCACAAAGGTAAATAAATGCAGGATGAAACATTGACTGAACCAGTCTGCCATCACAGCTTTGAAAACATCATAGGGATTTAGAAAGGTAATCGAAAGTATTCACCAAAGGAGTTCGGCCATCGTAGTCTGCCCTCGCAGTGACTGCACCAGCTTTGACGAGTTGCTTGAGTTGTGCTATGTCACCTTGGAAAGCGGCATTATTCACCATCAGAGCTAATTCCGCTTGTTGCTTCGCAACCAAAAACGTGATCTCTGCGGCCAGCTGCCCAACTCGGGCATCTGTGTCTTTCCACTGCCATGCAAGGAAGGGAATCATCAATCTGTTTCAAATTACACTTCATGCCCAGACTGAAGGTCCTCACGTCTTCATAAAAATGTAAGCAGGAGAAAGAAATATGAGAACGTATACAATATTTTCAGTCTGAACCTAACGACCCCTGACGGAAAAGGAAAACAGAAGAAACGTTTCACCCAAAAGCCATTCGTGAACTCATACAATGGTGTCATCTGATTATTCCTAGACCACCGAGAACACTTTCACTGATTTTTTACCTCCAAAAGATTGTTGATAAGTTTCCGGCCGTCATTGAAATAGATCTGCACTATGTGCGTGAAAGAATTTTTGTCCAGTCGCAGCAACCTGCAGAGCTCTACCACGCGCACTGTGAAAGGTTGTGGAATGTTGCATAATACTCCTACTTCTCCACAGATGCTTTCTGCATCCAGCTGTGCCACTACCTCCTCTGAACCATCCTCCGCTACTAAAACCTCCTCCTGATGTTCATCGAGCATCATGTGTTACAATCCTAATGTGTTATCTATGCAGATCGTAACAAGTGACCATATGTATGACACAAATTAGTCTCAAAGGTTTATCAAAATGACGAGGGCAGCACCACAAGCAAAGTGTTAAGTGTAAAACTGGCGACCTGGCAGGCATGAATATTGCTGCAGCTTACGATCGAGACCTATGCCGTACAGGGTTTCAGCCTTGAAGTTCGATGATTAGCCGTCACAGCAGAGCTCCATAGAAATATAGTACTTTCTAGATTATGATAATAACTGAATTATTTATCGATCTCTTAAGTTTTCTTCTCGTGCTTCTCACCTACCGCATGACGGGGATCACAGCAGGGGACAGAGAAGACTGGTGAAAACTCATGGGCATATTGTTCGACAGGAAGAAAAACTTACCAGAATTCCGTGAGCTACAATATAGAACTGATCAGAGGCGCCTCCTTGCTGTATAACAACTTCTCCGGGCAGAAAATGCTCCTCGATAACCTTTGCAACCTGTAGAAGTTAAAGGTGGGATATCAAGAATAGGTTACAGAACGAACAAACGTCCCGTTCTGGGACTTCACTTTGAGTGCGTAAATACCCAAAAAAAGTGTGAGGTAGAGGGATATGAAACATCCACAGAGCTTTCAATTTCAGGTCTTGGACCTAGAATCTTATTCTTGCACAAACGCAGGATGTCTGGCGAGCCACTCACTATTTCACTGATAAATTCTGTTGAGCATCCTGCGAACAGTGGTACTTGTTCCACTATAGAGCTGTACAAAGTTTGTGATACCTGAAAAATGACAATCATAGGTTTTGATAAGTCAATCTGCAAAGGTGAAGCACTGCATACGACGGAAAAAGTCGTTCAAGATGAGCTTTCGTCAGGAAAAGGACGCCAAAAACTTCATTACCTTCGATCGAATGGTCATGGGGAGGTAATCAACAACGCTGTCTTCTGACATCGTCCCAGTCTCGAATTGCAATCTAACGTGCTTCTTCATCTGTTGCCTTAGTTCCTTCGGCAAACCGTTTCGGTTCATGAATTTTATCAATGATGTCATTTTATCTCTAAATCTTTCTGTGCTCGAACCCTTAACTATCAAAGCTGTCATATTACCAATTAGATAAGCTCCCAAGATCATGTCAAAAGACACGAAGATCATAACAAAGATCATCTCTCTTGCATTGACAGCATGTATATCTCCATAACCTGGCAACACAACGTAAGAGGCAAATATCACCCCACATATCAGATACGTTAGCTTTGGCGAGGAGTGGATCTAAGATCACATCACCAATCCGAATTTCTCGATGCACTAACATCTGACCACAACACTCTCAATACTGTATTACGTACAGAAAAACTCAAAGAAGCCGGTAAACAAAATCCTAGATTCTCTCCATGATATACGGTAGAATAAAAAACCTGGAAATTACTATTATATGTCAAAATACATCTGTCTGTCGTCTTCTTTTAATAAACTTTCTGTTGAAAACAAGTGCACAAGTACAACTGCTTGGAATTTACTGCGACATAGCTGAAACTAAGGCTTCAAAAATGATGAGGTGAACGTACCTACAGTGGCCATAGTAAGAATGGCCCAGTAAAGGGACGTAACATAACGCTTTCCGATATCAATGGCACGAAAATTCTCATAGGAATAACCTCCTAGCTGAAGACTTCCGATCCATGTGTATTCTTCCTTCGACGGTGGAAGTGTGGTTGCAAGATAATAAAATATGCAGGCTGCAGTGTGCGTGCAATAAAATTCTACTGCCAAAAGTTTCACAATACGGATGCCGAAGTAACTGATGCGAATGTCCTTCTCCATCTTACCGAAAAACTCATTCACCTTCCGCACTCTATAAAGACGAACCCAAACAAGATATCTGACTTCTTCCCTGCGACCTAAACCCTGCAGATGATGACGTTCATCAGATCGTCATGTTGTCCAAATCAGCTCTTGAGGTGTCGTTTGGAAAGATTCAATTGCTGTTCAATCTGTGCAGCGAAAGCGACACTGAATTGGGCGTTTCATCTGTTATTTCTATAGAGGTCAAACAAATCACCGAGCCCTGAGATTCCAAAGTGCACTGATGGAGCTAGTAACTTCCATCAGTGAAAGGAGTGGTGGAGACAGATCTTAAGCGACAGAATACCTTGTAAATAGTATCCCATGGAAAGCATCCCAGAACGTCCAGAATAAAGTCTGATTTGATGTAACTGCACCACCACAGATTCCACCTCATGAATATAACGATATCAACCAATCACAACGCTACCTGCTAGAGACCCGAGCGCCTGCCATGTCCTACTTGATCAAGCAGAGAACTTAACTTCTGATTGAGCGAGTTTATAGTTTAAATACTCCCAGTCTCCTAATCCTGTGCTGAAGACAAGCAAGATTTGCTAAAAGGCTCAACAGGAGGTTCACAGGCGACACATTCCTCTTTGGCAATATCACCAGAAACGAGGGTCCTAAACACACTACTTGACCTTCGGAGCATCATTGCCAAATAAATCTGCAACAAAAACTCGTCTGAATTTATTTTCTGGAACCAGCAATTTATCTGGATACTGTAAACTTTGAATAGTATTCACCCATTGTCACAATCACAAACACTTACCGCTTCGCAATACTACGATGATCAACAACGAGCTTGTAAGTTTCTGAATCATTGTAAGCCAGAAAGAATTTGATGATGATATCTGCAACGAAGATAAACTGTATCGACATGTCTGCAATCCACAGATATCTTGGTAGACCTCGATAGAATCCAAACTCCAGAGGTGTGAACATGCTGGAGTAAGTAGATGCAAAGACGATAAACATCCACCAGATTTGAAATTTCCTGCAACAAGTAGGCGAGTTTGTTGGTCGGAAACATGCAAAACCTTCACATATGTCGTTACCTAAACCGTGAATTTCAGGAATGGAAAGCCTCATCTCACAGAAATAATAGGCTAGCAGAGCAATGTTCCTGTAAACTTTACACAACGAAACCAAACAAATCTCAACCACGGCCCAAGTATTGTAAACCCAAGTGGTGGTATTAGAATGAATTTGAAGATGACCTGCTGTCCGGAAGGATGTAGTAATTTCCGAGGGGTAGACGTTCAAGGCTACGAAGCTTCGAGATCTTGTTCAGAGAGAACTCTTTAACGAACTTTCTGAGTCTCTTCCCTACCGACGCATCCATATCGTCATCAAATCCCTGCAGTTCATACTCATTCTGGTCCTTATTACGCTTTGCGGAAACCATGATGAAAAGGCGCCAACTTCGATGGTCTCTTCACTTTCCGAGGCCAGTCGAAACCAGACTCTCCGAGAACGAGCGCTGTCAGCTGGTGGAATTACAAGCTTTGTAATTGGCACATCGGCAGCGCATCAGCATTACTACCTACGGCAGAAGAAAGTGCCAGTGAACAAATAAGTGAACCATTCCTAACCAACTCGACATCAGGGACACCCCTCTAGCAGCAGCTCGAGCCTCTCTTCTCCCGAGCAAGACCTGCTTCTCTGACCTCCCTGGCCGCTGTGAAGAGGTAAAACCTCGTGCCCTTTAGACTGGAACGAGGTAAAATCTTCACTTTAATGGGCCACAATAGGCATAGCCTTCATTCTAGGTACAATCCGGGACGAATCGAAAGGGACTGGAGGCTGGGAATGAGGTTCTGTGAAGTGAATGTGGAGCAGAGAGACTGCATTCACCAAAGCCATTGAAACAATATCAGTTCTCAGATGTGCTAAAACTCATCGGACCTGCCCCAAGGGTCTGTTCTGCTAGCTAGCTAGCATGACCCCATCGCAGAGTTTGTTTCGAAGCTGAAGGTGCACGACACTTGAAGCTGATGAGACATGACAGGACCCATCAAGTCCAAACGAGCCAGAGCCATGAGAAGAAGCTCGAATGCAAACTTTAATTTTCACGACGTCTAATCTCTTGTAAGGATCCTAAACTTTACGAAAACCCATTCCTCCACCGATCTAATTTTCTGTGTAAGCGCTAGGAAAACCACGACATCTCCATGCGCTTGAATTTCTACTGCAGTGCATGAATGTGCATGCCTCACGAAGCCTGATTCAGTGCAATGTGCAAGTTCTTACCGCAGTCCACGGGGATTCTGTTACACGAGAAATTCCACAACGACGGCGATTCCAACACACTAACAGAAGCGAGACCGACGTCCAGGACGTAACGTACTCAACGCACGACGTTCTGGAAAAGTCCCAAGGTTCAGGCCTACAGCACAAGGGCAGTATAGAAGTCAGAATGCAGGCAAGAAGTTGGACAGATTCATCGGCAGTGAGAACTCAGCGAGGAAATGCGGACAGTGAGTGCCCAGGACGACCATCCATTCCAAGTTCCGCCGGTATGAATCTACACGAGCAATAATTTGAGGGCACTAACGTACAAGCTCCTGGAAGAAGGTCCAACACCAAACCCCGAGAAGCTCTTCGTTCAATTGATTCCCAATTCTCAGAAGAATAAGAATATACTAGTGTCTGCAATCGCAACAATCCATTCTACAGTCGAATTCCCTCAGAGCCCTTCCCTTCCCGTCCAGCGCAGCTGTCAGACGAGAAATGCGTTCGATGAATGAGCTCGCCGGACGACGAAAGGAAGCGGGGAGGCCAAAGAAGAGCGGACTCTGAGATTAAAAGCGGCGAGAGGGTCGTCCAGCTGCGATCGTTCAGTCGATGCGATGAGACTTCGCGCTGCGCTCGCTTGCGGAAATTCCGCGCGCCGGGTGCCGACATCGGCCGACTGCGGGCGATCGAAATCGCCCGCCCTGGCCTGCACAGCGGACGAACCAGGAGGGCTGATGCGGGCGGGATCGTCCGACCGTTGTCACAGGCGCAAGTTTCGTCGAAAAGCAAAATTCCGTCTCCGGACGCTTACCGTCTTCTGGACTCCCCGTGCTCGGCTCAGGGTGCTCTGGGTACTCTGGGAGCTGTTGTGGTGAGAAATCGGGCCCACTCGATCGCAGACTCATGCATTCTCCGTCTGTCAGAAACACATTGCAGGCTGAAGTGGCTCGCGCTAGATGACTGTGAGTATCGTCGATTTGCAGCGCGGGGGTGGAGGGAACGAACGAGAGAAGGGAGCGAGTGGGACGTGGGAAGGGACCGCAAGCTGACGCTGATGCTGCAGCACAAAAGTGCACACGTCCAGGTGTAGGCTGTGGCGTGTGCGAGAGTCTTCTCCTGTCTTGCGTTGACGAAGGACGAGACGACGAGCAGGGCTTGCAGCGTTTACCGCACTCACCGTTTGCACACACCTGCTCATGATGATGGTGCACGGAGAGAGACGGGGGATATGATTCGTGGCGGTCCTGGGAATGAATGAAGGGAGGGAGGCAGGGAGGGAGGGAGGTAGGGTGCATCTCGCGGACAAGACAAACGGACTCACTCACTCGCTCACTCGATCTCTCGCTCTCTCGATCGCTCACCTCAGTCCGAGTCCACGAGTGATTCTGTGTGTGGCTTTCCCCATCACCAGCACACGGAAAGGAGGGAATCCATCCGGCCTCTGTTGACGGGACGTCAGAGACGGACGATGGATGCCGATTCCCGTGTCGCTAGTGAGCGCAGATGCCAAATATTGTCTGTATCGAAGCGACCAGGCGATGGATCGCTGATGAGGAAGGGTGATGGGGATGGGGAGTTGAGCCCTGGACACGGCTCAGGCTCACACTCGTAGGTAGTCGAACGACACGAGGCCAACGCTGGAGCTGCAGCAGACTACCGGTACGAGATGGCTGCTGTCCCCATGTCAGACTCCGCATGCCTGATGCCTGCGGCCTGCAGCCTGCTGCTTGAATCTGAATCTTCAGGGATCTATTCCTGGTCCCAGGTTGTAGGGCATTATGTAGGCAGGCACGGAGAAATTATCACCATCATTCTCATCATCATCACCATCATGCTACCGGATCATCGTATCGTATCTACGCTGTGCAAGTAAGTGCACAACTCAAGGATCGATCACTGCTCACACTCTCCTCGACTGCCAAACTCAGCCTCCTCGATTCGCTGCCCTCTTTGAGCTCGAGCTCCCAGAGCTCAAACCATCCCATCCGCTGCACTGTTGCGACCGAGCAGCCCAGCAAGCCATCTCCCTCTTACCTAAAAAGCTCCACCGGATTCGTTGTCCACCTACATACAGAACAGTTCCTCGTAGATCGACAAAATCCCGACTCCCAGCACCGTGATGGATATTCGGCGAGTTGTGACCGCTAGAACATCCCTGGATTTCCTGCATCGTCTCTCTTGTGGCCTTGCCGAATCTGCATCTCTTCTTTTCTGGGACTCCCTCAGTTTTGGAATATTATTGTAGACGACTTGCTTTTCAATGTCCCCCGAGTAGATGGTTTTCCTTCCATATCCAGGACATGCCATTAGAAGATACTGGCTGGGACCCTTGACAAATTCATCTCGAGCAATTTGGAAGATAACGATTACACCTCGCGGCTAGTCCGCCAGTACAGTGCAGTCCACGTACCAGGAGTCCAAGTCCGAGTAGCATGAGTTGACTTGACTTGAGTGGGGTCCTGCATAGGCGACGCTAGATCCTTGACTAACCGACTGACTGACAGATCGTCTGAACTCGACAAAAGCAACGACTGCAAATCATAGCATCTCAAAGTTTTGATCCGCTGCAGCACTCACCGCTTTGTGCCTACAGCAGTACCGAAGCTCTTCCTCGTCATCGAGCTGTGCTTTTCCAGCTCAGGAGACTGAGAGAATCTGCCCTTTGCTCGCTTGCTTGCCGTGGTTGGATAATAGTACCTGCGACTTAATATCAACTAGAAGGGGGCTTAATATCCGCTCCGAGCTCTGGGCCTTCTAGGGGGGATAATAGTACCTGAAACTTAATATCAAGTAAAAGGGGGGTCCTAATATCCGCTCCGAGCTTCGGGCCTTCTAGTTCCGCCAACGAAACGACAACCGGAGTTGTCGTTGCAGCGAACTCATCGCGACCGATGGAAAAGTTGCTTGTCCGCTGTGTATTCGCTGCCTCGGCCTCCTTGGCCTCCTGGCTAGCATGGTACAGGGCAACTGCACTGTGTGAATGACAACAGTCACAGTACAGTACAGCACAGAGTGACATATCAGAATCAACCACGTGTGGGCAGTTGGACAGATCTTCGAGTCATACTGCCCTCGAGTAAAAGAAAGAGGACTCTCTCTCTCTCTCTCTTATCCGGATCTGCAGCTTTGTTTCAAACCTACTATTGAGATTGTTTTATTGAGGCGTGCACGCTTCCGAACAGCATTGTCGACTTCGAGGTACACATGTCTGTATACGATGTAACGAAATGTTCTGAGGAAGCATCGACCAGGAATTGCATTGTAAAGTAGATTCGTCCAGACCCCAAACTTTGAACGTTGTAATTGTGCGATGGAGGATTGACAGAGGAACTCAGGCCCATAATTTTTCGGGATTCATGACTATTCTCGTCGCCAGGAGGCAAGGCGAGCATTGCATCGTCGACTGTTGAGACTCGAAGGTCCTTACCCTTCGTTTCAACTGGTTGCTTTTTCATTTCTATTCTACAGTACTCACTGAAGCTTCTTCCGCTTGCAATTAATGAGATGTAGTAGCAATTAGAAACAATCCATCTGCAGCTTTTACATATTATTAATGTTCCAACACTTGAGGTAAGTGATTCATGTTGAAGACAAAATGTACTCTTTTATGCTATCCATCATGAGACAAAACAGTTTGTGGTATCTAGTCAAATATTTTGCAAAAATGTGTTTACCACTGAAAAGAATGTTTCAAAAGTTTATCGACCAGTTTTCACATTCTCTACACTACATTCCAAGTTTGCACACGGCATGTACTGTTGAGAATCAACAATCTACGATTGTTATATTTTGTTCCGTCAAATTGATGAATATATTCTAGTGAACAGAACATCATAAGAAAAATTCTTTATGATATTTTATTTGGAAAAAAATGATTTTAAATATACACTTTTATTTCATTTTTAATAATATGATTAGGAAATAGTAACGAATTGCAAATCTGATAAATATAATATTAATTATTGAACCGAAATCATTAAACAACCATCAAAATCTAAATTTGAGATGTGAAAACAAAACTTTCCTCACTTCACTAGAATAAAATATTCAAATGAACTGAAAATTATAATAATTTCATCACGTTGTATATATATTCATAAATTATGTTGGATCATATCAGAAAGAAATACTCAAGCATACAGAAAATCATTGACATAAAAATATATGGTTTACCATCGCAATTTACTTCCACAAGAATAACAAATAAACTTCATTGTTAAAAATCTTAAATGGTTAATCTAGAACTTTGACTAGTTCTACTTTATAGTGATAGCATAACCTCGATCTTAATTAAAGCTAACTTATATAAGTTAAATCATACATAAATAAATCACTAATAATACTTTCCTTAACTCATGTTGTAAAGAAGTAAATTCCATATCTCTATATAACCATTATATACTCTATAAAAAGTTTTAAAAGAAACCTAACATATGATTTTCTTAAAGCTAGGACTAACAAGAATGAAGTTGTATCGAGAACATCATAGAATTAAAATATATATATAAGTGTAACATATTTGCTAGTAAATTTCACTTGCAATCTCATGCAAAATATGCAAGGTAGCACAAAGGTTGCATATCTTCTACCACTAGATTGGGATGACCCACCAAACCACTACAAACATCACTAAGTGAATGTAGTGGTAGCGAAGATCAGCATAGTTCATTTTCTAGTTAACTATGGTGATGCACGTCGGCCCTTGATCAATAAAGGTAGTTAACTATATTGATGTGACTGAGAGCGACACTATAGCTATGTCCATGCATACCGACCGACCCGATGTCACCAGATAGATTACACACAGGCCTTCCAAAATCACTTACACGAAGTTAGATTAGATGTAATTTGGCCGCGCAGACGGACTTTTCCATAGTTAACTATACCAATAGTGGTCCTAGATTGCCGATTTTGTTTCAAGTGGTTAACTATAGTGGTGCCAAAACACCTCCTCCTTCTGGTATAGTTAACTACAGTGATGCTCGCTAAAGAAGGGCAGAAAAAGTAGTTGAATGAGTTAACTAACTCAGTGGTAGAAGGTCTGAAAGGTTGCTAAAACTTTTCAAATGAATAATTTTGATCAATATATTATGTACATTGAATCTATGGTCAAGTTTGATTAGCTTAATTATTTTGATCAAAAATATATCTATGATAAGTTGATATTTGATGTCGATGTGTTTCACTTTCTTATGTATCATTGGATTGCAGCAAGATGTAAAGTATTTTAATTATTACAATGAAAATAAATAATTTTTTATTTCAATCTCAAACCTATCCAGCCAAAAAGTTTTCTTTATTAAATATATTATAACTATATAATCATATTTTGTTATGTATTTCAATAAGCAATTTTATAAAATAGATCTTCAAATTATGAATCTATCATTAAATGTAAACATATATATAATTGTAGATTTACTTTTGTTTAGATCTTGCACAAAATTTAGCACAAACGGAGCCTAGAAAAAATTTGATATTTTTCAATAAACCATCAAACCAAATAACATAATACTTTGTGATATTTGAGAATACATTTCATTCTTTGTCAATGAAACTTTTTCGGAGTTGACATGAACTTGCTAAACTTATTCATAGCTAAAGCAATATCATGTACATAACATGAAATTTACTAGTATGTCTATAGGTTTGTCATAAGGAATCATAACATTTTTTTCTTTTCAAAATCATTGATTAGACATTAAGTTGCAAAAAATTTAAATAGTGATGTCAAACGAGTTCATAGTCTTCTAAGCTATGGCATGTTAAACATATCAAAAACACATTGAATGTATTTGACTTACATAAATCTTAGTATTTTATTTTCCAAATTTTTATGAACATGCATTCTTAATATATATTTTTGAGTTACTCAAATTCTTCATCTTAAATGCAAATTTCAACTAATTCTTGCATCTATTAACGTTAGATTGATTTTTTGCAAAGATAAGCATAATATACAGGTAAAGACCTATAATAATGGGATTCTAAATTATATTATTCATCTCTTTTGATGAAAAAAATAATTATAATGATTTATGAAATATTTTATTTTTTTTAACTTATCAAAACTTGCATTCCACAAACTATGAGCTTATTTCAATTCATCAAATGATTTCAATAATTTACAAATAATTTTTCTTGAAATAAATTTGTAAATCAAGTGATTTTTATTAAAAAAACCCATAAACCTATATTAAAATCACATTTATCTGATAAATATTTAAATTAGATATTACAAAAATTACACATATCAGTCAAATTGGATCATTCTTTATTACAAGTGAAAAAGCCTTGTCATAATTCACACTTTTTTGTTGTGTGAAAACTCTAATCATCAACATGATTTTGAAAAAAATGATAATTTGTCATTAATTATATTGTCTTTGAGCTTATACATTCATTTGTTATTAGTTAAAGTCTGATTTTATGGAAGCTCTATCAATTCCAAAATCTTTTATTTATTAGCAACTGTATCTCAAGCTTTATAGCAATATGGTAACACTAGGATTTGCATAGAAAGTCACTTGAATATTAAATATAAATTCTAAACATAAGATACTTTGAATGATTATTCTCTTCCTTGAATAGATATTTAGACATATGCACAAAGATAAGATCTTTTCATCATCATCAAATCACTTTCTAATGAATTTATGACATGGCAGATATATATAATGAGCACATGAATTATCGAAATGTAGTTTCCAACTCACACACTAATTAACACAATCTTCTATTGCTAGTAAATAATATATAAATTGATGACATGACATTATGAATTTTTTATTATCATCTACTGCATTTCATCTTAAATTGTCTTTATATTAGTTTCAACAAACTAAATATGATTAATGTTATATTGGTGATTAATTGTTAATATTAATGATTAATGTATAACCTTTAATCATTATAAAAAATGAAATGTAATCATTATACTCATACATTGCTGTCAAAATCAATATATACTTACAACATGTGATATAACAATACTTACGATATAATTTTATAGATCTTTCAATTATTATTGTTGTAGATTGATTTTTTTTTCTCAGATCTGTAGTCTTTAGTTTGACTTTGAGGCTTTACTCTTATAAAAGTTACAATACACATTGTTTTCTATTATGTTAATTTTATGTTACTCTAAATTTTATGGCCATGATTTTGATTTGTTAAACATTTGAAGTTGTTCCTTGGATTATTAGTATGAAAGATTATTTTATTATTCACATGACAAATGACGCAAATTTGCTAAGCAACCAGTTTTGCAATTTTTGACTTCTCTTTTTATTTTGACTTTTAAATTTGACAATTTTTATGTTATTGTCTTACTAATGAGTTGATTGTTTGACTTTTAAAATGGCTTCAAAGAACTTTTTAATTCCAAAGCAAGCAATAGTTATACAACGACACCAGTATGATTAATCTTATCACATTCAAATACATAAGTAGCAAAAGATTACTTCAACGCTTTCTGAAAAATATACAGAAGAATTTTGGACATAAGGGTTGTATGATCTCTTCGCACTCAACATTACAAGCACTTCCAAAATCAAAATCATGTATGGGTTGAAATTTGCTATTGATATTGCTGCTCTCTATAACCTCTAACTATTTTGCTTCTACTTCAGCAATGAGACAAACTACATCAAATGAAATTTTGCCAAAACAAGATGTGATTGATTGATCACACAAGTCATTTGCTTTCTTTCGACGTATGTGATTGGATTCACAATGCAATTGGTCAACAATGTCAAGCGTCAATCATAAGTTACATCATAAGCAAAAATCAAGATGAGCAATAGAGTAAACAAGAAATCAAACAATCAAAAACTTCTTTGATTCGTTGTGCCAAAAGCATTTATTATGGAACTGCAAAACACTCTGCCGCTTTGATATCAATTGTTGTATTGGATTATGAAGAAAGATCAAAGTCTTCAATTATACATGGAAACACCAACTTCTATGTGTTTTGCCACTACTCGTTATGTACACGAGAACAACAGAAATATTTCTATTAATATAACTACAATGTTTGCTAACTTTATTTTGATAGCATAAACTAAATAGTGTTAAACCACCTTAGTCAAAACATATATGAATTAGTCACAAATAAAATGATACATAGATTTACATTTAACTATGTATAACTTTTCTTGATCAACTTAACCAATTTATTAATTGTTGTATTAATTAATACACTTTCAAATAGAATTTTATCATTTTAAATTCATTTTTAGATCAAAATTTTTTCTATTTTATTTACAAGATTGAATAGATCTAAGTACTAAATTTATTCAATTAAAAAATTTAAATGAAATTCAATAATCATTTACTCTCAAACATCTAAAATTAAAAATTAGTTCATTTAATACATATCTAATGTGATTATGTAATGCTTTAAATAAGATCCAAATAATCAAATGAACTATAATATATTCATCAAATGATATAACTAGTATCATTCTACATTAATATCATTAAATTATAATTCCATTTGATTTATTTTTCAACAAAATTTTTTTGTTCTATCATGATATATAAGTATATATATATATATATATATATATTGACATCTATTACTAAATTCATGAACTATAATCTGTGAAGACTCAATGTGAATACATTATTCAATTGAAGCAACATGAGATTAAATTCAGGAAAAATCAATTGTGAACTACAAGTTCTTAAAGTTATTTGATCTTTAGGTATCAAATGTCTAAAACCTTCAAGAAAAAAATAAATTTCACAAATAAAGGCATTGCATTTGAATCCATATGTAACATAACACAAATAATTAAGTTCCAACTATATGACATATACAATATCATCACCTAAAACAAAATGTTTTCTCAACCAAATGTTATTTTTATGCCACTTTATAAAATAAGACAGATGGAATCGATTCATTCATATCAACTTTTAGTCGCTGTTTCATTTTGCTTTGTACGTATGTTGCATTTGGTATCACATCATAGTCAATTCATGTAGCTGAGAAGCTAAAGTAAAATATTCCTTGAATATTTAAATAATCGAAATCTCAAGATTGAAGATGCAACTTGATGTATAACTCGTCTTTTCTTCCTGCATATACTACTAAATCTATAGAACACAACAGATTCAAATATAATATGTGCGTGAATGGAAGTTTGAAGTAACTCAATGGCTCAGGTGTCTAATTATGCTTCCTTCAATCATCAAGATAAAGTTTCTTCAAGTGTGCATAAACAGACTAAAAAGTTACTTGAGCAACTCAATTGAGATCTAGATTCTAGCAAATTTAACAAACATTTTATCATTCGTTGATAAAAGGTTGACAAAAGATTGATTGATTTAGTCTTAAACCCACATCTTCAAGGTATTTTAAATTTTGGTCAAGGGAATTCCACGTATCAGGGTACTCATTCGTTATTAATTGATTTCTATAAATAAGAACCCTGATACTCATCTGTGATCAGTTAACTCCAAAATCACATATTGTGCATGAGCTACATATGCAACTTTTCAATCATTCCAATCTCATGTCTGCACTCCATAGACCATAGAGCTTCTATAATAAGCTCAATTATCATGTTAACAAATATAATAGTATTGACATAATGTTGGTGTCATATCCACCGTCCAGGGGAATATATGCCGATATTCAGTAATTATTTTCAGATTCACTTATTTTATAAACTTCACATATCGCTTTAAGACTGATCCAAATGACATGTTCGAACTTCGCAAACTTCATAACATTCATAAGATCATTAGCTCTGAGCCCTCAAATTTTGAAATACACGTTGAATCACAAACAGATATTCTCTCGTGTACAGAATCCCGCAACACCTGAAGCTAAAAATGTTCTTTTCCTTCGCCTCTGGTAGGTCCTGTCACAACGAAGAACAAAGAGCTCTAGTAGAATAAGGGTGACCTCCATGCAAACTTGTAAGTAGCCTTGTGTTAATAACACAAGGCTTTATAACACACACTCATCTGGGACGGAGATGTGGTTTACCAACGAGGACAATGGACTTGCAAGTTTATCTTCACTGCAAAAGAATATTGAATGTTCTTTTCGAGACCAGACACCTTCCAAGACTTCGCAAATTAAAGGTTTGAATAAAGGTTGTGCAAGTCTTCTATGAATGTCTCCTTCACCGAGCCTGTGTGAGCGACCCTTAGTAGAATAAGAATGTGCTCCATTGAACGGCCATTCTGATCGAACTATTTTCGTTTGCAAGTGTGAACAACCATGAAGGTTTCTTGAGATAAGTCAGTTGACATTAACTCAAGATGCCCTGAAGACTAGAGCCACTTAACTAAGGTGGAGCCTGTGAAGACAAGCCACATGGACATATGTCTTCACCGTAGTCATTACTCGGTATTCGATATGTGAAATTTAGTCCAACAGGCACGTGATTATATTCCTCACCTAGCCTTTGACAAAAAATATTTCCCACCTCAAGACTGTGCCAGGCCAAATCCAGGCAACGTAAAAGGAGCCAGGTCGAACCGACCCTCCTAGAGGTTTGGTGATTCAAATTAAAAATCTCATTTCGAGTACAACAGAGGAAATTGCATCTGCTTAGTAAGGCATTGTGACAAGCATTATGCTCTATAGGCGCGCCTACCAGATGTGTTGCTTCATTTGCTAGTAAATTGTGAAGGCAATAAGCTCGGGCATGTAACTGAGAAGCATTGAGGCTTAACGATACAACCTGGTCAAAAAATATGATGGTCGACACATGATGTCTAAGAAGATAATCTTCTCTATTATTGATTATCTTGATGGTAAAGTCTGTTAATGGCAGGGAGTTGATGATATCTTGATATTATGTTCTAGGAATAGCTTCATCATGATTGGAGCTCTCTATTTGAACAGTCAAATCCTTGACACCAATGTCATTGAAAACACTGTGAACATGCTTCAAAATCTTCTGTTCGTCGGCACCAGGCTTGACCTGTTAAGTCACCCAAAACATAATCATAAAGTTCATTATCCGCTGGATGCTGATCCATCATATTTGTAGCACATATTTGAAATTCAGTACATATCAAATTGAACATGCAAACCATCAACAAATATGATGTACACGTTCTACACCTGTCTGAGAAAAATACGACAATGAGGGCAAGGTATAAAAACTCAACAACATCGGAAACTACCTGAATGACTAAGGTGCCAACCACCCCACCCGGAACAATATCCCAAAACCGAGCCTTGTAACAATCCACTACCTCGTCCAACAGCAAAATCTGCATTCGACATCAACTCGTCAGGCAAAAATTTCTATCTACTGCGCAAACGTTACCATAAGTCCCAAGCAAGAATGCTTAAGAATAACGAAAGAAGTCATTAAGGAAGATACCTGTCTTTGACACTTCATGAGAGCAGAAGGAGAAACTCCTGAGGGTGCCATCTGTAGCAGGACTCCCCCGGATGCCACGAAAAGTGGCATGGTAGTTGAGAAGACAGCAACTGCCACTAAACCCAGACATAATGTTTCTGCGTACTTGACACTGCAGATAGACAACTTGAAAGTGAGAATGACGACATCCAGGACAAGATAATTCTTCCTCACAGAAATCACATTGATCATCTCAAAACAAAGAATTTATGGAAGCCACGCTCTTAATTCATGTTTTAGTATAAGCAAATGCTTCGAAAATTCGAACGTTAAGGACCACTCACCCGAGTGTCAAGAGCCATGAAGCCAAGACTACTCCAGCACTGGACAAACAAACGAAAAACAAAACAATTACTGATTATAACAGGATGATGTGATGACTGATGTGACAGGATGTCTCTGCCCCTACTTTATGTTAGGTGTGAGTAATGTTGAGTCAAGTTTACATTAGCAATTTACGAAAATACAGCAAAACGAAGGAACACTGTCATCCAAGTGACAGATTTAACAAAGTTCCTAATACTATCTAGAATAACCATATGAGAAGATCATGTGAGAAAAAGAGTTGAACTTGTAAACCTTCTAAACTTGACAGAATAATACGTATGGTAAAAGATAGTCGTATGATACAAATTGTGACATTAGAGACTTACCTTCGAATAGAGTCAGAAAGGACGTGCAAGCAGATTGAATGATTGTTAATGTCTTCAGCTTTCCTGTAGACTGAGAGCAGAAATAAACATTTGCATGAGTCATATGTCAGATAAAGACTTTAAAACATTGAAATCTGGAATTATATATACATAGAATTTCAAGTCTATCTGTAGAAACAAAATGCTTGTTCCGTTACGAGCGAAAGAAGGGGCATACCAACACGAACGCGAGCATAACTGCGGAAGAACCACACTCCTATGAGATTCACGGTCAGATTGGCCACCGCCGATATTATCAAATAGTGTCTGGTTGGTAGGTTTCCAAGCAGGGTGACGTTTGTTAGAAGAGCATGCGAGAAATATATTCGTCGCAGGAGCTCACAATAGAAGCCTTCCAAGTCATGACGTCAAAATTCAACCTCAAGTTCAAACAGTCTATTGAAAAGAGAAATAAAAATTCTGGAGATTCATTAAGGATAAAACTAGATGTGTAACACAATATTCTTGTAATATCTAGGCTTCCCAAAACTATGGTAGGACATTTTATGACTTACTTGTGTTCCGACTCGTCTTGTACAAATGCATGGAGCGCCTCCACGGCGAGGGAGAAGGATAAAAATAATAGAAAGAGCTGCTCACCCACATGTCCAACACAGACAGCTTCCAGTGTTATCCTGGATGGACCTGCCACAAAATGACCTGCCTCATAAACAGTCTTTCGTGACCTAATACAGCCTTCTAAGTTTCCCACCCCCTCACCTTATTTCAAAATATCTTAGATTCATGAGAAGTAATAGATACAGCAATACCTCGACTTTTCGTTATCTAGTGCAAACAGATTCACTGGAAGCTACCAGACGGCAAATTGAATAAAAGATTATGACTTCATGTTTATAGTTGCGTGAAACTCACAGCATTTGTAAATCCGGCGAGTACTTCCAACCTCTTATAACTGGAGCACAGTCATTAACAACAACAACAACAACTATCAATGATTTTCAACATCTTATATACGTGTGATTTTTTCTAAGAGATGCTAAAGAGAAAGCATGTGAAATGCAGCTTCAAAAAACATCAGATTTCAAATCTGCAAAAATAAGTTTTTCATAGTAGGCTTCAATATAACATCACTCCAGGAAGATAACATCACACTGAACATCATAAACATCATCCAATGTCTTCAAGTTGACTACACTCGACTAAGATGTATAGATAAGGGAAGGAAGACGGAGCAGACTACATACCCATAAGTGTATATGCTATCAGGAGAATTCTTTGATAGGACCATGGCCACTAAAGAAAAAGTAAGCACTCCGCAGCCAAATGTCAGATGAAACGAATCCGAGACGAGTCCTGCACATTGAATACATATACATAAGTATTGGCCGGCGATTGAAAACATTCCATATATTTTAACTGTGCGTAAATCCCATGCCCTGTCTGCGGAAGCCTTATTTTGGGATAGATTGGGATAGAAAAAAATAAGACAGTTGGGATGGAATAGGAAGACCGTTCAAGAGTACTGCCAACGAATGTACTCGAGTGTTTCTTTTTCGATGTCTTTACTAAACGATAGTGAAAAATGTTGTTCAAGTTGTTCCCGAAGACCAATCCAAAGTCTAAACTAACTCTTACCGGAGCTTAACGGAGCTCACTAGAGCTATTGATATACAAGATAGAACCTATATATACGAGAATTTCGACTCCTTTCAACCACTTCTAATTGACTCCATGCGCATGTGATCTGATTTCTCAATTGAAAATGCAGTAACTCTTAGCCATAGAACAAATTGTGAGAACTCACACAGGTAAGCTCTGTCCACATAACATGATCTTGCAACTTTTCTAGGTATAATGTGACGCAAACACTATTTCACAGTTCACAAGTGCATCTTAACTGCCTGACGCAATAGAATTGTGATTTTCAATAGACAAATGAAATCACTATTTCATGTTCGTTTGGTTTCTGAGAATATGTTTGAAAATGTTCGTCATAGTCAGAGGCAGAAAAAACACCCAAGAAAATTGAACAATAGACTTACCTATCTGGCTCGTGAAAAGACCAATGAGGAACTCCGTTGCGGAGTAGGCAAAATTCAAGATAATCAACACGAACAATTTCTTCGTTGAAGAACTTCCATACTTCAAAATCTTGCCTATAGTCAACGAAGAGGCATCCTGGTGACTCTTATTCGATGCCATTTCATATTCCATCTCATTGCTCACATAGAGGTCATCCCTGCTCACATCATCACTGTTCGGAGACCATTTCCAATTTTCCCCTTTCTCCAGAGATAGCAATCGATTGAGTGAATTGGGCGCCAAGGAATCCTTGGACATGGACAAAGTCCTCGAAAGTGTTGTCTTCGAGGAATGAGTTCTGGTAAAAATAGGAATGGGAGGCTTGTCACTGGCATGAGGAGATCGGTTGAGTTTGTCCGACGAATAATTGAATGATGAGTTACGAGAAAGAGCACCCCTGTACTCTCGTTCAGCAGTAACTACTGGTGATGGCGAGCTTGGAAGAACCCTGGAATACCTGTAGTCTCCACCCCCTTGATTTGGAAACGCAGGAGCTCCCAATGGAGATGGAATTGCTGTCCCTCCTTGATTAAAGGAAAAAGTTCTCTCGGTACGAATAGGTGGCAAAGAAGCAAAACGAGGAGAAGCGGACTGGGACTCGTCCTGGTCCTTGACAGTCCGTGGAGGAGTCAACGGTAACGATTCGAACCCAGAAGCTCCTCCTGAATCAGCCGGAATTTCCAGACTACCTTGGAATTTCTCCCATGGAGTAGTCATTTTCATCCCGTCGTCCTTCTCTCTTCTACACTCTCCAGCTTTGGCCAGCCCAGCCCAGCGCCTTTGAATCAGTGGCACCCTACAGTCAAGACCTTGACTTGGATAAAATACCTGTAAAATTAGACTCCTCCAGCATTGCTCTGGCATCCATGACACAGATTCGCATTTCCCAAGCTCACCTCCTTCTTCTGCATCCAGCCAATCATCATCACTTGTCCCAGATAAGATCTCTAATATGGAAGAAAAATACCACAGCAAAGCCTGTACAGTTCACAGATCGGACTGAACTCTCGATCAGATCAACAACTCAAAATCCAAAGCGAGAGCCAGATAAGCAATTGAGATATAACGTACCTTGTCTCCTGCGGCATTTGCCCTCCACAGCCGGCGACGACGGCAAATCAATCGAGAAAGTACCGGAAGCTGCCCACCCACTGACAATCTGTGACCGTTGGGTATAAATCTGGCGCTCGGGAATGGATTGTTAGGTCTACTGCTGCCAACTGCTGGACGTGAACATACACACACAATCGATCGAGCACTTGCAGCGGATTTGACCGATTCTCCGGGAAGATCCCAAATGTTCAGATGGAAAGAGGAGGGAGGGACCAGATGCGGTTTACAGGGGGAGGAGGGCCTGGAAGATCCAGATTCCTGGCGCAAGAGTGACCGCTGCTGCATCGATGGACTTCTCGCTGTGTTCTGGCCAAGGCATCAGTTTTCTCCGCCTTTTCCACTTTCCATAATTTAAAATTTCCGCATAGTGTTATCGGCATTTGCTTATTCAGAGCAGCGTTTGAAATTGAATCGTGTCATGGAACTCGTGTCATAGTGGTGATATAAGGTCTGTAGCTGCAATGGGAGTTATGCGATACAATCATAACTGATACTTTCATGCGCTTTTGGTACGACTTTCAGATGTCAAGTACCACCCCCAAATCTTGGATCCGTGTTAGGGACCAGAATGATATTTGGCAAAAGAAAAGGGGGCCAAGTAATTATCAGAGTATTCTATCAAACCTTACATGTGTAAAGAATATGAAGATTAAATTTATAAAATATATTTAGTTCTATACAGTATCGTGATTGTTGTTATATACAACCAGCTAGTATTATATATAGATCAATAAAAAAACACTTCGTATAAATAAGATTACATAATATGAAGAAGAAACTAAAGTATATTACCCTTGCATGATATGATCTTCGTCATTCTTTCAGAAATATGTGGTGTCAACATCCCTTATTGTTCTGGATATCTAATGTTTATTGATCACCACTCCCACTGTGGAATATTCCTTATCTGAATATTCAGATCTTGCTAGCTTCATATGTCGTCTTTGAAAATTGGTACTTCACCTTTCGAAGAGTCAAAAATGTAAAAAGTGAAGTATATATTCAATAATGAAGATTCTCACTACAGAAATCGCTATCAACAACAACGAACAGTAAACTGGTAAAAAAAAGGATGAGAAGATTATGATCTTCTTGCTCTGGTACCATTAAGCGAATATTGACTAGTCTCTGATTCTTGGGCATTTTGGGTGAGACTTAAACAACGATCTCGTAAGACAAAAATGAGGAAGAGACTTCGTTTCTTTGATATATTCTAAGCAATTTTTTCTGGTATAAATCCGAAAATTGCCTCCTGCTTTCAAAAGTGGAAATAATAAGTTGTGCCTAACGCAAAATCTTGACTGTTCGAAAAACGTATATATATATATGATCATTGTCATTCATTTTCACATTGCTCATTTTGGAAAAATCGGATCCTCGCAACTCGGATATTTAGCCATATCATAGTTTTTGCTGAATGAAGGCATTTTAAGGGGTAAATTCATCGGCCAATATCCCCTGTAGACTAGCTGAAACCATGAAGTAAGTACTAAATATATTTTTCTTAGAAAGTACCAATGAAAGGAACTTTGTTGTGGGAAATTGCCATTGAACTAATAAATTCGCACTTATGTATTTTTGAATCCACATATGTACCCTGTATCACATATCTATGAGGTTATCCTAATCGCTACCAATATCGAACGGCCCGGTAGTAATTGAAAGCTATGAAGATGATTTCCCTTACGACTTCCATTATTATCTTGAAAATGCATAAAATTCACTGAGAAGTACTTCTACATCACGAGTGGGTGTAATTTATATAAATTTTTTCTTTTATATATTGAAAGGTGATCCCTTTAGAAAATGTTGTGTCTACTAATAAAATATAACACTAAATTTTTAAGATTTAATTTACAATATCACTTCCCGCATTACATCTACAAGATAACTTATACTGACAGCTAAACTTGCCAATATTGTGATTCAACTGTTGACATAGTAAACCATTAATAATTACTAGTTTCAATAATTGCCCATATCAGATTTGATCTCACTACTTGTGCAATTTATAAGCTAAATGATTATTATTGGTTCACCCAGATAATCCAACATATCAAGTTTTTATATATGGTGATGCTATTTGGGGCTAGCAAATCCTTATTCTAACCTCCTTTGGTTGCATCCATGTATCTCGTCATAATGTATTCCCTTACGGTTTGCTAGATTTCTTCGTTCCCGTGTTTTCATTCTCGAGGACACAACAATTAGTCTCAAAGCAGAGTGCGGAACGAACAATGAAAGGGAAAGAGTTCAGGGGTCGAGGGAGGCACGAAAGGCAGGGATGAACGGCGAAAGGAAGTCAGCGTAGCGGGAGGCCCTGTCGGTAGCAAGACGTAAAGGCTGATAGCCGGTTTCTCACCGGAGTTTGAATGCACGTCGGAACTGTCACTGGGGCTCTGGGTTTTGTTAGGGTTTAAGCTAGAGCTCGTGCCCAGCGTTCGTCCGTAGCTGTACCGAAGCAGAAACCTCCCTCTGGCAGAGAAGAGAGGACACGCTTCGAACTCGTCTTCGAATTTTATTCCGGCAATAGTCGGGCTCGAAGGAATTTTTTCACCGGCGTGGAAACTAATTCTGCAGTGGAAATGTTCTGATCCCTTAACGAGCTCCCTAGAAATCCAGCGCGTGGCTGTTTCCAACTGCCGCAATGAGGAAGAAGGTAGATTCTCGTATCAGAACGCTGGTAGAGAATGGTGTCAAAGCCCGACAGCGCTCGATTTTTGTCATAGTTGGGGACAAAGGGCGTGATCAGGTGCGTGATCGTGGTTTCTGTAATTTGAGTTTAGTGAACATCGTTCATCTGGGCGGGCATGTGCAGTTTCAGGAGCCCAGTGAATTAACTTCTAAGAATCACGTCTCTGAGTTGTTTTATCCATAATTCATGTCAGTTTTAAGTGCTCACTTTTTCACTCGCCACCTTCAGTTGTTCTGCTTACTCCAAAAGAAAATTTCCCACATTACGTCCGCGAGGTCGTTTATTGTACGAGATTTAGATGTAATCTCTCCCAAAGTAATTTGATTGGAATCGTGTACAATTTTTCAGGTTGTAAACCTGCACTACATGCTGTCGAAAGCTGTGGTGAAAGCACGTCCTTCCGTCCTGTGGTGTTATAAGAAGGAGCTCTTCTTAAGCAGGTTAGTTTGCCACAAACTCAACTATCTCACAAATAATAATTATGCTGTAGAAATACGAGCCGTTCAGACTTTCTCGAAGAGTAGAATGCATGAAGACTAATTGGTGTGCTTTACGAGCATGAATTATTAACTTCTAGACTTTCTCCGTCTGTAACTTGGACAGTCACAAAAAGAAGCGTATGAAACAAATCAAGAAGATGATGCAGAGGGGTCTACTGGATCCTGAGAAGGACGATCCTTTCTCATTGTTCGTTGCAAGCACCAACATACGTTACTGCTACTATGCAGAAACTCATAAAATTCTCGGAAACACCTTCGGCATGTGTGTGCTACAGGTCAGGGACATCAGGCTTTATGTCGGTCAATCCTTTGTAGCATGTCTTCTGTTCGAGAAAGCTGACTGTAAATTACAGAAACTGTAGATGTTGAGCTAATTGCGATAACAACTCTATTTCAAGGAGTAATGGTGCTCGTTCTGACATGCTTTTCAATTGTAGGCTGAGAATGATTTGGCTTTGGCGCAGTGCAGGACTTCGAGGCTTTAACTCCAAATCTCCTTGCTCGTACTGTTGAGACGGTTGAAGGAGGTGGTATCATTCTGTTGCTCCTTTCTTCCTTATCTTCTCTCAGCAGCCTTTACACCATGACGATGGTGAGAATTCTTCTTCTCCTATTTCTGAGCTTAACTTCATACTCAGACAATATCTTTGCAACTTTGATTCGATGATATTTACATAGTTCGTTGGCATAATGATTGCAATGGGGAGATAACACCTTGCTTTGTACCTTTATCGAGTCTTGCTGAGCAAGTTGATAAATATTAATAATTGGATACGTAATATTTTTCAGGATGTACATGCAAGGTTTCGAACCGAGGCCCACTCAGATGTAACAGGTCGATTTAATGAGAGGTTTATACTGTCTCTCGCATCCTGCAAAGCATGTGTAGTCATGGATGATGAGCTGAACATTCTTCCCATCTCCACTCATATTCGGTCGATCACACCTACACCTATATTGGAGGTATGCCAATGTCCATCTTGGACATCAGTACTGATATTTCTAGTCACTCTCTGCCGTCTACCCCGGGTCTCTTTCATATTCCTTGTACTACAAAAGCCTTAGCGGAGCTGAAACATCTCGCATGTGGTACGGACTTCAAGTAGGAGATGGAGACCAATAGTCCTCATCGTTATGGCTTTCATAAGTAAATTCGACTGTTGGATACAGGGTGAAGATGGTTTGACTGAGGCCGAGAAAGATCTGAAGGAACTTAAAGAATCTCTGAAAGATACTCTGCCGTTCGGGCCTTTGGTTGGCAAGTGCCGTACTCTTGATCAGGTAAGTGTCGTTGACGTACTAGTTGACATGGAATCTGACACAGCGTGCGATGTTTAAGTCTTACATGTGTATGTACATGTGTACGAGTCTCAACCTACTTTACTCTAATCGGGTGAACAGGCAAAAGCTGTCATCACGTTTCTTGACGCAGCCTCGGAGAAAACATTACGAAGCACAGTTGCCTTGACTGCTGCAAGAGGACGAGGAAAGTCGGCGGCGTTAGGCGTAGCAATTGCTGGGGCAATTGCCTTGGGGTAAGATTTTATCTTTTATCTAGGAAAGTGAAGAGATCTCCGCCTGTTTGAATTTTTAAAGATCTGAATATTGCTTCGTATAATTTTTGCTTTGGACGCTCAAATCCTGGTTACCTTTGTTTTATTTCCATTATCCCTCTACTTATTGTAATTTGTTTCGAGGTATTAAGAATCCTGTTTACCAGTTAGTCTATCAGGTCTCCACCGTTTTTCAATAAGATTTTATACTTGTACTCAGAAGTCGATACATGACCTCAGGTATTCGAACATTTTTGTTACCTCCCCGAGCCCCGAGAATCTCAAAACATTGTTCGAGTTCATTTTCAAGGGATTTGACGCAATGGACTATAAGGTACTTGAGTGCATTCAGGGCCTGATGTCGTGAGGACGTGAGATGTACCTTGTTGCCCACCAAGTACAGGATATTATTTGATTGCAGGAAACCACTGTCTGGAGGCTGTTTTTTAGCATAGGGTCATTATTCTTCCGTTCTAGTCAAAAGTTTTCATTGTCTCTAAGAGTTGACTGGAACCGACTAACACCATCTTGTCTACTCCGACACATGGCTGTCTGATGAGTTATCTTTCTTCGTTTGACAGGAACATATTGATTACACTCTTGTAGAGAGCACAAATCCGGCCTTCAATAAGGCTATCGTAAGAGTTAATGTATTCCGTCAACACAGGCAAACCATACAGGTAAACACGAATCCATTCATTCTGAATATAAAAGTAAAAATATTGCAGTTTTAGAAATGTCTTTTGCTGTAATTATTAAGGTACAATCTGGAGCGCAACTGGTTCTAATCTACTTCGATTGTAAATTGCAGTACATTCAGCCACAAGATCATCAAAAGCTTGCGCAAGCAGAGCTTCTTGTCATTGATGAAGCTGCCGCTATCCCTCTTCCGTTAGTGAAGGCCATGCTGGGGCCTTATCTTGTCTTTTTGTGTTCAACCGTCAACGGGTAATTCCATCTTAGAACAGAAGATGTTTCCTTCCATACGGAAGGCTACTGTACTCCGTCCAAGTTTAAATAATTAGTTATTTAGGATATTTGCCCATGGAGCCTGACATGTGTCTTCCTTATAGTGAAGTCGTGTGTTGCTCTTTCTGCCAGAATCTTTTGCGAGTACGAGGAAATGCGTTGTTTCTGTTGGATTAATGCTTTCATTACTGATTGCAAGCTTTGCCTCAAGATTACAGTTATGAAGGTACAGGTCGATCGTTGTCGTTGAAATTAATACAGCAACTGCGTGAACAAGGTCAAAAACTCACAACTCAGGCAGCTTCTGACGATGGCGGGAGTACATCAGGTACAGTCTTGTCATCTTGATATCTTCTTCTTTGTCGCGAAGGGATGTTTACCTCATTGCTTGCAACTTTGAGTTACCATCCTATCATAGTCGGCTGTCTTGCTGCGTCTTTATTGTTATTTAACACTGTTTGAACTTGAAACAGGGAGGGTCTTTAAAGAAGTGGAATTGGCAGAACCTATACGGTATGCAGCAGGTGATCCGATTGAAATTTGGCTCAATGAGCTTCTATGTTTGGATGCCGCCAACCACATTTCTTCTGTTGAAGGCAGGTATGGTGTTTCCAGCTCAGGGTTAATTGTAATCTCTGAACTTATAACCTCATCCCTGTCCTGTGTGTGCTAACCTGCTTCGAGTCGGCACACCTAGTGGTGACTTTTTAGTGGCCTCTTTTTGGCTTTCATTGTTGTTTTTTTGGTTTTGTCGACGTTTTTTGATCAATGTGAAGAATCTACTTTGTTTGTTCGTGGGAGCTTACTGTTTGACCTGAAACAGGTTACCGCATCCGAGTGAGTGTCAATTATATTATGTAAATAGAGATACACTCTTCTCCTATCATAAAGCCACTGAAGTTTTCCTCCAGGTATGTCATTATATCCAGTCTTCCGCCAGCTACATTTTGGGTAACTTTATTCGGATGGTTTGAAGTGCATGCGGTACTCAAGTGTCAAGGAATTATGTGAAGAGAACTTAAGATGTTCTTTTTATGGGCTTTATGATCGACCCTCTTTTTACAGAGGATGATGGCACTGTACGTGGCTTCACACTACAAGAACACGCCTAACGATCTGCAACTACTTTCGGATGCCCCTGCCCATCACTTGTTTGTTCTGCTAGGTTCGTACTTTACCACGGATGTATAATAGACCAGATGCATGTTTCCTTGATTTGTGTCTTTTTTTCTCTCCCGATGAACGCAGAAGCTTTATAGTAGAGAAGTTGGTGAAACTGGAGTGGAAATGTCCTCGTTCGGACTTTTCTGGTCTATAGAGATGAGTTCGAAATCTAACAACCCATGACTCGAATCTGCTCCCTCAGGTCCTGTAGACGACACTCAAAATGGACTCCCCGATATATTATGTGTGCTACAGGTATGCGAATCATAAATTTGAGATTCACTTTAAGAAGTTCCTATCCTGTTTCCATGAATATCTACACTTCGTTACATTCGGTTAGCTTTTGCTGTTTGAAAGTCAAGATCAGATCGTAACATATCTAACAGCGCCTCCTTGAATAATCTTACCATTTTGTTATTACAGTATGTAGTTCTCTTCCGCTGGTTGCTACTATTCTGCAGTGGTCTTCTATATTGCAATTTTTTTTCTGTTTTCTGTGTTTTAACATTTTGAATATCCTTTGCTCATTGCTTAAACATCGAAGCTAACTAGCATCTTTATAGCAACCTGAAGACATCAAACTTAACGCCATTGATTGGGTTTCTAGGTTTGTCTTGAAGGCTTAATATCTAAGCATTCAGCCCTGAAAAGTTTGAGCGACGGGAATCAGCCGAATGGTGACCTTATTCCGTGGACTATATCACAACAGTTCCAAGATAGCGAGTTTCCAAGTTTGTCGGGTGCCCGTATCGTACGAATAGCGACACATCCGAATGTTATGAGAGTGAGTTTGAAAGCTGCTTTCATGGTTTCTTAGGCACTGTTCAAAGATTGAATTCTTGGCGCTACTCAGCCCACTTTCAATGACGACTGTTATTACTTACTTGTAATCTCAGCTGAAACTGTGTATTATCGTTGTTGTCTTGCATCACCTGTAGGCCGGTTATGGTACTTGCGCTGTCGAATTGCTAGCCAGGTAAGATGTCTGGTTCTGAACCTGGTTTACTATCGGTGAACATTGCAGTAGACAGGACGCTATAAAGGGAGAACATGAAATTACAAGGATATCTAGGTTTAAATTGTTGTATACTTGGGGATAACCTATATTCAATCTATGCTTCTAAATTTTACGCAATTTGTTGTTCATGCTTTAGTTGTCCTCCTGTGTCGATTAGTTGCTCTATGGTTAGTTTAATCTTGAGATAATGACATGAAGCTTTTGGGTGCAGATATTATGAGGGACAAATAGCAGATCTTGCCGAGGAGGATGGATTTGAACCTGTTCCTTCCAAGAAGCCTGCGAGGGTTACGGAGGCTGCTGTTGAGGTAGCCTTCAATACAGAGAAGTGAATACGCTGTTTGTCTATTCTCTCTAACGATTAATCCAAGTCTATGACTTTCTGCCTAATCTTCTCCTTGAGCAATCTTTCAAGAGTCAATTTTGTGGACTGTCGTTTGAGGAACTTGAGGTGCTGGGGCTTTTAGCTGAATATCACGATTTTTGATACTTGATGTTTATGCCATAAATGTCACTTTCTTTCAAGTTTAGACGTGGGTGAAAATTGTCATGGAGTATTTTTTCTCCGATGGGAATAATCGAAATTTACAATTTGTCCCCGCAGGTCTCACTTCTTGAAGAACAAATAAAGCCAAGGACAGATCTGCCACCTTTATTGGTGAAACTTCAGGAGAGGAAGCCAGAAAAATTACACTATCTTGGAGTCTCCTACGGGCTCACTCAATCACTATATAATTTCTGGCAGAAACTAGGATTTGTGCCTGCTTATGTCCGACAGACACCAGTAAGCAGATTAAGTTAACAATAAGCTTTGATGAAGTTCACTTTCTTGTGATGTTTCAGAATATTGCAGTACAGAATTTCAAGCTCCTAGGCCCATTCATTTGATAACCAAGGTTCAGTAAGTTCTGGTGTGAAGTCTAACATGAAGCAACTATATGCATGTAACAGAGTGATATTACCGGAGAACACACGTGTGTGATGCTGAAGGCTTTGGATAATGATGAGGTGGAGGTGGTTGGATCTGGTAACACTTGGATTACTCCATTCAATGAAGGTGGGCGGAATCTGAATTATGAACCATTTGAGCTCATTAGGTTTTCACCAAGAATATCTTTGTCAGATGAGTGGATTCAAGAAGAACCTTATCTGAAGTACGTGTCAAGCAAGGTTTTTCTGGTAATCATAGTTGATCTTACCTGATTTATAGATTTTCGGAGGCGATTCATGTCACTTTTGGGCTTCAGTTTTCGATCTTTCGCTCCTGCGCTGGCTTTGAGGTATGTTGTTACAGTCCTTTTTGTTTTGACGGACATGTTATTTGTTTAATCTATGATCTTTTATAGATCTGAGTTTTTAGTGAGGATTATTATCTCTTTGTAGTACGTCATCTCCTACGTTGTACGTGTTTCATTGACCTACTCTGTCGTGGTACTTCATGAGCAGCTTATTAATGTTTTTGATTGTTTGTTGTACAAGTATCTTGAATCCAAAATTCAAATTCGATGAGAATGAATCCATCGAGGGAGCAACAACGGAAGGAATTTTTGGTGGGAAAACCCCTCTGTTGACTCCTTATGATATGAAGAGATTGCAATCTTACGCCAACAACCTTGTAGACTATCACATGGTGAGAAACTTACTTTTAATGTCTTACTCTGTTCTTGTGAAGTGTGCAGTACGTAGACATGTCGGCTAATTTGGCTTCCAAATTTTCTCGGTGGTCATGTGCAGGTCTTGGATCTAATACCTACCCTAGCAAGACTGTACCTCCTCGAAAGATTACCCGTATCCTTGTCTTTAGCACAAGCTGCTATACTTGTAGGTGTTGGTTTACAGCATCAAAGCTTGGATACCCTGGAGGTCAGTAATGAGGCCTTGTCGTACATTATTCTAAATCTATTCATGCTGCATTAGCAGATCATTTGTCTATTATAAACTTTAGTATTGACGATTTATGTATGTACGTCATATCTTGCAATCTTTAATTGTTACCACTCTTATGACCAATTTTCTCATTTTTTTCCTCTTACGGTAAAGTTGCCGCTGAAGCGTGTGTTACGTTTGTATCCCTTTGAATGTTTTTGAGAGTGCTGGTCAGGGTCAGCCAGCATTCCGTCAGTCTTCTCGCTTACAGCGAATAGAGACTCGCTCGTTTAGCACTTGACCAACCTCGGATGTTTTGTTTACGTGTACTGCAGGCCGAACTTAAATTACCTGCAAATCAGATTCTTGCCCTGTTCAATAAAAGCATTCGCAGGTTGCATTCTGAGCTGCATAAAGCAGCTGCCAAGAAGATCGAGGCTGCCTTGCCTCGTATCAAAGAGGTTAGTTTATTCTTTGTGGTCAAATTTTTCAGAGCCGTGGACCTTTTTTTGAATGTCAGGTTTTTTTTGGGAGTTCTTTAGAGTAGGGCCGTGAAACCTTTTGTAATAAGTCTCTGTTTCTGTTGGAACACCTATCAGGTCACCATGAATTCTCACGCAGAGTCGTTGGACGATGATCTCGACGATGCAGCACGTCAGGCCCAGGTATGACGCCGTTGCTCTTTTATTGATTTTTGTGTTTAATTGAATGATTCTACTTCAGAGAATGCTGATCCCTTTACGCCTAATTTATTTGGATGTCTTACGTTCCTTGCCCCTTGGAAACAGGCTAACATGATGGAGAAGATGGAGTCACTCCTTCAACCCGAGAACCTTCAGCAATTTGCAATTTCAGGAAGAGAAGCTGATTTTGACGAAGCTTTGAAGAAGGGTGGTGGGAAGTTGCCGAAGAGCGGATTCCTGAGCGTGAAAGGAACGAAAGAGCAGCCTAAGGAGAAGGCCAAGGAGCAAAAGGATAAAGGTGGGAAGAAGAACAAACGGGGAGATAAGCGAGAGGATAAACGGCTACATAAGAAAGCGAAGAAGTAGGCAGTGAAGATTGTTTGTTTTTTTACTTTACATCAGGTAGATCTTAAAGTTTTCTTAGATTTGAAAAGCAGAGTCTTTTGCTTGTCGTCATCAGATGTTTTCTATTGGAGTCGTCTGATAAAGTTTTGAGTGTTCCTTGAGGCTAGGAGCACGGCACCGCACATCCGTTTCGTATCTCCGACGTTTTTACATGGTGAATGAGTGCTAGAATTTTAGAGATTTCCCGCGTACTCTTGGTATGGGCTTTCACAAAGCAAGCTGTGTTGGATGCGGTGCGTCGTGAGAGCTTTGTGCATTCAACCTACGCGTAAGAGGTCAAATTGAGCAATCTCAGACTTTGTGCTCAATAAGGACCACTCTCGTTTTGAAATCTTCTGAATGACATAAATCGGTGTAATGATGATTTCAGATTTATCTAAAATGTTTTAAAGAGAGTTTACGGTAGGTGTAAACTAGGGACCTCTTGTAAGGAGTACATTGTTTGACTTTCTGCTTTCCAGAATCTTTAATCATACTGCAGGAGAAAACAGGCTGTGCCTTACCTTGGAGGATAATGGAATAGAGGAAGAAAAACCGTGAGCCACCCAGATTCTGCATAGATTGAAAGCACCTTCACCTAAATTCTTTGAGATGAGCCTATCAAGATCGCAAGTTTGCCCATCGAATGGATGTCCTAAGTCGACTTTCTATACCTTCCTCGTCCTTCCAAGGATTTTTGGAAAAATACGTAGTTGTGCAGGTCAAGATTCCCAGGTCAATTACTCATCTGCCTCAGAATCAACGTCACACCACAATCCAGCTGTCCACGGTAGTGTTTCCTGAGGATCGGAGAAGCGGTAAATTCTTCTACCCTAGTTTGGATCCGAATAGCACCCATGCACTGCGTCGAAAGTCCAGTGACAAGAAAATTCTTCCAACAAAGCAATGCTCTTTGATGTATCCAAAAGAAAAAACACTTTTCCAAGAATGAAGCTTTTATGATACAATGCCGTTGGCCGACCGACGCCTTCAACCTGGAGCTAGTCAATGACTCTAATCTTGGCCCAAGCGACGTTCGAGCTAGCTGGGTAGACTGCCAAGGCAGTCCAAATCGCAAACCAGGCCTCTCAAAATGAGGTCGATACATCATCATCTCGGTTATGACTTGGTGCCAAGCGAAACGTTAGGATTTTCATCCTTGAACTGCTTATTAAATTTCATCCGTTCGAAGCCAACTTGATGGAGCTTTCTCAGCTTCTGCTTCTTAGTGTCCTCTGCGCTCTTGATCTGTGAGCCCAGCCCTGAGATCTGCGACTCCAGCGACGAGTACTTGCTCTGCGCCCTCTTGATAGTTGAGGCGGCCTCTTTGGCCTTGGCCTTCATGGCCTTGATGTCAGCCTTACCTTTCTTCACGCTCTCTTGCAAACTCTGCAGTCGAAGCCAACGGACCAGACGCACTAACTGTCAGCCTTGGTTGCAATGCCCAGAGATTAGATTGCATTCATCCCTCCGAATCGTGCATAAAAAAATCGAGAAATGCCCGGAAGTTTGGCTTCCTCTGCTAACGTTCGATTACAGGATGTGGTGCCAAGCAATAAAAGAAAATGGGATGACCCAATAGGAAATGGAACTAGAAAAAAACTGCGAGCAGTTGGAAATATACAATGAGAAATATTTATCCACAATATATATCAAATTGTTTATTTAGATATCACTGAAATAGGAGGATTGTGTGTAAATTAATGAATAACATTTGATTCTAAGCAGTTGAATTAATAGCCACACCTGAAAATGATATCCATGGGGACTCCTACATATATCGATTAGATATTCTAGTAGGGTAATGGAAATGGTTGGCAGGCAATAGAAAATGATAACTATAATTCGGTTATCTAGCGTCTTCGGCTTCGACCCAAAAGATCACATGCTTAAGTTATGAGCCTTATGCTCCTACCGAGATTCCGCAACTATTAAAAGGTGCGCAAACTCAAAGTAGCTTAACTGATAGGCCTCGTAGGTGAGTGATGCATAGGGTGACTAAACGATCAAGGAAGGATCTAGAAGAGAACTGAAGTTCAAAAGAGAGACTCACGTCAACTGTTTTCTGGAGCTTGGGGTTAATAATTGTAAGCTTCTCGAGGTGTTTTTTGCACATAATCCAGTCTCCGTTTTCCTCCTGGGCTTTTGCGTACAGTAGCTTCAGATGGTTCAGGACCATCCTCAGTCTTCCAATCTCGCTGGCACAAACGTCTCGTTCGATCTTCACCTCCTACAGCAGCAAATGAGCAGGACGAGGCTAATCTCAGCGTTGTCTCGAATGCAGGATTTGAGAGTCATGATAATGCATACCCACGTCCATGGATTACAGACTCGAGACAGACGAGATCTTACTCTGGTTCTCGTTGTGTTGAGATTTCTCGATAACTCGTAAAGTTCGGTATGCTTCCGGAGAGCGATAGTGTCAGTCAGAAGTTCGTACTGGGCTTCCAGACCTGCGGGCATAGTCCATTGACGAGCTTGATTCAGCTGGAGTTGCTCACGTTTGTAATTGGCCACTACCTAAAGTGTTGTTTCTCGAAGACAAGGCTGCGGTGGTGCACTTGAAGCCTAGTCTGTGGGCACCCGATCTGCCAGCATGATCGTTTTCACGTTCCCCAGTAACTGCTGCTGATTTAGCTGTTCTCTAAATGTGATCTGGCGGTGGGTACATCAACCGAATTTGATTACGGGTTTAGATATAAATTTCGGCAACTAATTCGAAATATCAGGAGTGAGTGAGTGAGTGAGTGAGTACACGGTCTTAGACTTGCCTCTGGCTCTTGCCTCCAGTCGGCATACACCGCCCGTGCGTGGGGCGTCGTAATTTCCCGCGAGCTCCAAATCTTGGACCCGCCTTTCCAACTTCCTGTAAGCGCACCAACCAGACACAATGCGCATTGCTTTATACAAACCCGTGGTTACAATCGTTTTCAATCTATGGTAAAGCCATCGACGAGAGTGCGATGAGAACGCATACTAAGACCCAGACAAAGTACCACCACAAGCCGGAAATTAAACGAAGAGATCAGAACCCCTCTGAATTCTCATGGATTTAAATCGATACCAGTGGAGTGATATGGACACGCATCCATTATCAAAAGAATTTTAGCTCAACGGCCCGCCCATGTTCGCTGTCGAAATGTGTGTACCTAGAGCTCTTAAATCTCAGCAAGTGTGTTCATGTCTACTACCGTGATGTAAATGGGCACTCTCTCAAACAAAAAATCCCATGTCATGCACTTTCACTACGTGCATCTCTCATGCCTGTAGTATAGCAGTGTGACTCTCTCTTTAAACCATGAACTGGGGATTTTGACGATATCCACATCGAAGTATCTAATTACTCTAGTGTCGGATCCCTGACAACCACACCAGCAGCAATCTCTCTTCCCTAGACGTTTTTAGTGGGCATTGACCCGTGATACTCAGAGCAAATGTGTACATGTCTCTACAGATTGCATGACCACTAACTATCTCTTGCCATCATGTTACTACGAGTGTCTATACTGTTCGCCCGGTGATTGAGTGGGCTCCCTCTCTCCACCCTCCCTAAGCAGCGTCGATTCATATTCATGTCTACTACTCCGTCAGATCCGCTCTCTCGCTTGTAGTCATGGTTTCATTACCAGCCTCGGTCAAAGAAAAATTCATCTACTTCTGTACTTCTTTGTGTCTGTCTCTACAACGCACGCATCCCTGACTAAATTTAGGCTCACAAGCCCCCACGCCTGTCTTTGCTCGATAGATCTGATTTTTGTTGTGTGGTGTAAATATGTTACGAAGAAGTGGAACTCTCACACTGAATTAATTGCTGACGCTGGGGTTGGTAGGTTGATAGGCAGGCATGCAGATGGTTTGGCTCGGTGCCTAAAATTAACTTGCTTCATTTGCAGCAGCTGCATTCGAGTGTATTCGAGGACTTATATTGCCGCAGGTACAACTAAGGATTCGCGGTTTTACGGGTGAATGCAAGTCATATATTATCTACAGCTGCCACCTTTCATACTTGTCTCGATCAACCTTAAGCCGAATCGTTGCTCATTGCAAAATGCCGCTGACCAATCCAATGCGTCGGTCGGTGGAAAGTTTGTTGGTTTCGCACGGCTTTCAAAGTGGAACTTTTCATCTCATAGAAGGGATTGGTCTTAGACTGGTGAAAAGCGGGGGCCCACTTCGAGCTTCGCAACCGTCGATCGCCAGTGCGTTGAAACGTTCAGGCAACGCATTGACTTGCCCGCTCGACACATCCTTTGGATATTGACACGTGGGATGTGGATGGGAGTTTGCCACAGAAGAAGAGGGATCAATATTGTGGCATATAGCGGTCGTCCTAAAACTCTCTTCTCTGCTGCCAGTTAGAGGCAAAGGGTGTGGGTTGTATGGTAGAATAGGTGGTAGCTCTCCTCCTCAAAATGATCTGCCTGCCTGCCTGCCTGACGAAAGGTTTAACTTTACCAGCCGTACTTCTCATGCTTTTTTCCAAAGAGTAATCGTGTCTCTTTATTTTTACTCTCACGATTCAACTCAGCTAGACCAACATCAGCCTTTCGAAACCAGCAGCACGTCTCTCTAATGTTTGTCTGACCCGAACCGTATTTTTCAATGCTGACCATCGTTACTTGTGCCTTAAATATGTGGTGATTGATATCAGACGGTGACCGATTCACCACCTGCTCTGCGATATAACGTGCGTGAGCACTGCACTGGTCCAGAATCTGAGATCGTCTCAGGCCTACGGTTGTGTATATGGAATGGAATGGAATGGAGTTCGTTAGTTTCGATCAATCTTTTCTCACTGCGAGGCATCGAGGGTCGGGGTCGATTAGAGGTGGTCCAGTGCACGAACTTCAGAGTTTGCTTAACAGGAGTGCGTGCAGAGCTGAGGCGGCAGGGGAGAGAACGGCCTAGAAAATGAGAATCACGCCTCGGTTGTCCTCAGGACTCCATCTTCATCGCTAACTCGCTAAGCTCAATCGATCGACTAGTGACGACTACCTCCCTCCCCCTCTCCTCTCCGTGGCTTAATTATTAGTCTATGAGACTGGGTACTGCAGTCGGATAACTGCTCCTCGCCAGAATGCTAGACTTAAACAATTCGTTGAAATTCAAAGCCACTGTCATCGAGCTTGAGAAGCAAAGTTCGAGTGGTTACAGGAATGGAGCAGATTTCACTCGCTGTCATAGCGAACCTGCCGGAGCTCAATTCGACTGAATCTTCCTTGCACGGCAATGCCACTGCACCAGCAAGCACAGCCCGGCCCGGCCCGGCCTGGTCTGTCTTTCTGACTGACAGACGGACGGACGGATCGATGGATTGGATCGATAGATCGAGACGGTGCAACACGAACGCCATGAGCAGATCCGATAGAACTCATGCGTCGAGGATATCACGTACAAGGTTTCATGCCATAGCAATTTCTGATATGGAAGGATCAGATGTCCGGACGGACGGTGGGAATTGGAAATTATGCAATCGAGGGAAAGTATTTCTGAGACTCTCGACGAGGACGTTGAGGATGGTGGTGGTGGTGGTGGTAATGATGATGGTGGTGGAGAAGTGAGTGTGGGGAGCGTACCGATTTTCCGCAACACGTCTCACGTACTCGTGTCTGTGTTCGGCGAGATGGATCTCACCATTCAAAAGCGCTTCTTTCAAATCAATTATTTCTCCTAATAAGTTTTCTTTGTCTCGGCTCTTACAGACCTGGACGGTTCGCGCTCTTCCGAGATACGGGGGAACGCTCACAATATTATCGGCCAGATTCGTGAAGTAAGCACTCACGGCCCCGGCCCCGGCGGTGCCCGTGGCGCTCTGCGCGGGGCTCGCGGGCGTCTGGCCGCCCGTGCCCGTGCCCGTGCCCTCCCCATCCCCCTGGCCCTCGCCCCCGCCCGCCGCCGCCGCCTCTTCAGCATTGTCTGGCTCCAATTTGGCTGCTTTTCCCGTCGCCATGGCTCCACATCCGCCGTCCTCGTCGGCTCGATGCGTTGTCGGAAAAGAGGGAGTGCTCGAGCCTCCCCCGCAGCCGTTTCGTTTCTCTCGCCCTCTTCCATCATACCCTCTCGCGAAACAGCAGGTCCAGAAAACGGTTCCTACACCAACCGAAACTCGACACCAGCCCGGATCTCGATCTGCCTTCGCCCGTGTGTGAATGCGGCGCAGCTCAGGGGTCCGTGATGATCATGATGTGCCATTCCATTGGTGCGATCGCTTGCTTGCTCACTCACTTGCAGGTCCCAATTTCGTAACTCCCATATATATTCTCGACTGCAACTGCTCGATCCGCTGCTCCGTCATTCTGAACCAGTTCTCTGCACCAATCGGGCGACGATCGACTGCTGTTATTTAAGGCCGATTACGGTTGCGAGCTGGGGCTATCGAAAGCTCGTGTGACGAGTATCGCTCTCGCTGGATTCGTTCACCATTTCGCGGTGAAATCCCCAACCACCAACCCGCAGGACTACGGTCCTCGATCGAAGGGTAAACTATTCGAGAAGGCTTCCACATCACGTGGTGATAAAACGGGAATTCGAATTGGTTATGGTCGTGGTAGGTGAGCTAGCGATGGTTTCCCCGCCTCTCGCACCCACACTTCGCGCGATGGGACGGACGGGTACGCAGGACAATTCATGCTCGTGTTTTATAAGGTAGGTAGGTAGCACCGATTACCCCACTCACGTAGACTAAGTCGGAGCATGCCCGCGGAGTCTGCGGGTAATGATTTTATCGTCCAGACGATTGGGGACGTGGAAGTGGGGAGGACTCGAGAGGAGCGTGGGAGGACGATCTGGACTCTCCTGCAGAGTGTGTTCCGTCAGCCAGCGTCAATATCACAGGGGAAGCCGAAGTACGGTCGATATATAGACATGGCGCGCACAGGAAAGATCTCAACCACTGGAATAAGACCAGGAAGAAGGAAGTTCGTGAAATAATTTAAGTTGCAGGACTCGCGGTGATACCAAATGTTGCTTCGAACCTTCCAGTACTGTATTGTCAAAAGAGGAGCCCAGTTTTCGTTGCAGCTGCAGCAGCTGGGTCCTTTATGTTGTGAGGATAGGGGTCACTCGAGGTAGGGAGGCAGGCACGCAGGCAGGCAAACTATAGGATGGATGAAGAATAACAACTAGCCTCTGGTATGTGGTCCATCAAAGTATAAGGGCATGTATGACGAATGAAAATTTGATTAAGAATGGATCGTTCGAATCATGAACGAAATAGCTCTAATTGACACTAATGTGGCCGGCTACTAACTATATTCCCAACCTACAAAGCTTTGGCTGCCGACTGGCTAATTGGGTTGAATGAATGAATGGATGAATGAAGGCATTCGATCGATCTATGAATCAACAGCCAGAGCTCTTGGCTATCTACAAACTATTTACGCAGCTTCTACTGTAATGTCTACCTATCTAAATCAACTGCATGGTGCGTTCGATATCTTGCTGCCTTGACGAACCGCTCCAAATTCATCGAACAACCAGAGTGCTGTAACTCCGACCCTACTCTACGTTACTACATGCACCATCGCGCGCAGGTGCGTGCGTGCGGGAGTGCAAAGGCAGACTACATCTTCTTACGTCGTATGTACACGGAGCTACTCCTGGCTTACTCCTCGATGCCTGCCTACGCGTGAATGTTCATTAAAAAGAGTTGTTAACTGTGGACGGGCAATTGCTGCGCCCGAGCGGTGACCTCAAGGCTCACCGAGGGGAATCGACAAATCGGTCGAGGAACGAATCGATCAGTTGCCGAGGCCAGCGCGGATACCGAATTTGATCACGTCGAGCGGAATGTAGGTGACGACGCTGTAGATCCAGACGATGCCGGCCCACTTCCAGCCGAGCGGCGCGATGCGGGCGAAGGTCCAGTTGGCGTACACGGCCAGAACGGTGGCGATGAGCTGCGCGATCACGAAGGCCGTGACGAGCAGGAAGCCCGGGCGCTCGATGAAGGACCAGCTGCGCGAGCGCGTGACGAAGATGAGCGCCTGGCTGACGATGCTCACCTGCAGGTAGACGGCGGACACCAGGCGGCCGTGGTCGTCGCGCAGCGAGTCTGCGCCGAAGAGGTCGGCGAAGGCGTCCGAGTCGTGCACGAGCCAGAAGAAGACCACCGTCATGACGGCCAGGTACGAGCCCAGGAAGATGCCGGTGGCGAAGATCTCCTTCAGCTTCCAGCTGTCGGGAAGCGGCGAGGGCTTGACGCGGTCCTTGGCGATGGTCATGATCGTGCCGTCGTTCAGAATTGCGATCACCAGCACCATGAAAGGCGAGAAGTCGAATTTCCAAATTAGCGCCAGCAGCATGAAGCCCAGCACGATGCGGATGGTGATGGACACGGCGTAGATGGTGTAATTCTTCATGCGCTGGAAGATGGCGCGGCTCGTCAGCACGGCGCTGATGATCACGCTCAGCCCGGGCTCCGTCAGGACGATGTCGGACGCGCTGCGGGCCGCGTCCGTCGCGTCGTCCACCGCGATTCCGATGTCCGCCTTCTTGAGCGCCGGCGCGTCGTTCACACCGTCGCCTGTCATGCCGACGATGTGCTTGCGCGCCTGCAGCCGCTTCACGATCTCGTACTTGTGCTCGGGGAAGACTCCCGCGAATCCGTCGGCCTGCTCGATCAGGTCGTCCACGCTTCCGGCGCCTGACTGCCCCGAGCCCTTGGCCTTGGCCGCGACTGCGACGTCGCCCGCGTCGGCGGCGAGGAGCGACGACGAAGGGTACATGTTGGTGCCCATGCCGAGGCGGCGGCCCGTTTCCTTACCGATGGCGAGCTGGTCGCCGGTAATCATCTTCACGCTGACGCCCAGTGCCATGGCGCGACGGATGGTCTCGGCGCTGTCGTGTCGCGGCGGGTCGAAGAGCGGCATCATGCCGCAGAACCTCCAGGGCCCGCCGGGCGCGTCCTTGAGGCCCTCCGGCACCTCCTGCACGGCCACGCCGAGCGAGCGCAGGCCGCGCTCCGCGAACTTGTCGATGACGGCGTGCACGCGCGGCGCGATCTCGTGCTGGTTGTCGGCGAGCTCGAGGATCTGCTCGGGCGCGCCCTTGCTGGCGCGGTACATCTTGCCGTCCGAGTCGTCGATGTAGGTGATGGCCGTGCGCTTGTCCACCGGGTTGAAGGGCAGGAAGTGCAGCTCGCGGATGCCGGCGCGCGCCATGCTCGGGTCCGCCAGCGCGCTGACGATGGTCGCGTCGATGGCGTCCTGGTTCTCGGTTCGCGCGGCGCGCGCCGCCATCAGAATCACGGTGCTCTTGTCCATGCCCGGCTGGAAGACCTCGACCAGGTTCACGTCCACCGTGAGCTTGTTGAGCGTCAGCGTGCCGGTCTTGTCGCTGCACAGAATGTCCATGCCGGCCATCTCCTCGATGGCCGTCATGCGCTTGGTGATGGCGCCCTGCGTCGACAGGCGGTGCGCCCCGATCGCCATTGTCACTGACAGCACGGTGGGCATGGCGATGGGGATGCCGCCGATCAGCAGCACCAGCAAATTGTCGATGCCGTCGCGGTACGTCCTGTGCTGCACGGGCCACATGACGAGAATCTCGACCACCATGCCGATGGCGATGGAGATGATGCAGAAATTCCCGATTGCCTTGAGCACCTTCTGGAAGTGGCCCTCCTGGTTCGTGCTGTCGACGAGGTGCGCGGCCTTGCCGAAGAATGAGTGCACGCCCGTGGCGATGACCACCGCCTCGATCTCGCCCTGCTTGCAAGTCGAGCCCGAGAACACGGAGTCGCCGGGCCCTTTGGTCGCCGGCAGCGACTCGCCCGTCAGCGCCGACTGGTCGATTTTGAGCGCATCGCCCTCGAGCAGCCGGGCGTCGGCAGGGACGATGTCTCCCAGCTTGATGCTGATGATGTCGCCCGGCACCAGCACGGCCGCGTCCATCTCCGCCCAGCGCCCGTCGCGCAGCACCTTGGAGGTGGGCGCGAGCTTGGCCATCAGCGCGGCGGCGGCGTTGCCCGCGTTGTTCTCCTCGACGAAGCTGATGGTCGAGTTGATTATCAGCAGCACGATGATTCCCACGAAATCCTGCCAGTCCGGGGGCCTACCGTCACCGTTGGCCAGAGCGATCGCCATGATGGCTGCGAACTCCATGACCCACGACAGAGGATTCCACATGAATCCCAGAAACTTGAGTATCTTGCTCTCGGACTTCTCCTCCAGCTTGTTGTACCCGAATATCTTCAGCCTCTCCTCCCCGTCGCTGCTCGACAGCCCCGCCGCCGCGCACTGCAGCTTATCGAACACCTCGCTCATCGGGCATTTCTCCAGGTTGGCCTCGTTGCCGATGGAGTCCAGACTCAGCCCGGCGCCCGCCATGGCTCCCCCGCCCTGCTCTCGATCCGTGCCTGCGCTGCTCGTGTCGTCGTCCGCTCTCTCCCGCCTCCTGTTCCCGAATTAAGCTCGAATCGAGAATTCCTCCACTCGCCCACGTACAGAATCGGATGCCTCTCGAGTCCAGATGTAAAATCCTAGCCCTATACCAAAATCTACTCTACTCGATATCTATCAGAACATAATCTCACCCCGTACATCACACCACACCATCATAATCATCGTCATCGCTTAATATTTTTTTTCTCAATAGCAGTAAGTATGTGCCTCCTGTCCCTGGCTTGATCGATGTTCCCTTCCTTCTTCGTCCGCCGGCTGCGATGACTAGCACGAGTGACACTCGTGGACCTGGACCTAAGACTGACCTGAAGTGAACCGGGGAATTGACACTTTGAATCGACCAGTCGTCGAGAGGCACTGCAAGGTAGCTGCAGAAGAAAGCTGAGAAAGAATTGCAACTGTCACTATGCCCACTGATCTTATACTAGCTAACTACAGGATATAAGGACTACCACCCCCACCAACACTACACTAAACTACACTTCACTTCTCTTCACTAGCTTCACGTCGTCACCAGTCGCTCCTTTGATGATATTTTTACTGGATCTCCTGGCCGCCTCGAGCTCTCACGGATGAGGAGGAGGAGGAGGAGGAGGCAGACAAGCCAATGAATGATTGGAAAGAGCAGTGATGAGAACTGAGATATCACTCCCTGTCCACGGTCTGCTACATATACTGGTGAACGTCAGGAGCTCAGATACGGTCCTTGAAACAGAGGAAATATGGGTCTAGGAAATTCGGGTCGAGACTGGCATCGCGCGCGTCTGATCTACTCGACTGTAGACTGTTGAACCTTTAGCGCAATCGAATTCGCAGTCAAGAGAAGGTCACTGATTCAGGTGCCGATGTAGGCAAGTAGGCAGGCAGGCAGGAAGGCAGCAGCAGGAGGAGGAGGAGGAAGGAGGAGGCAGGCCCGCTAAAACCCCGGGCAGCAAGGACGTTTGGCGCATGGACAAGTAGCAGCATCTCATGCTAGTGTCTCACCCACGACTCTGGGACGTCGGCTCTGGATCTCCAGCTGCTGGCTCGTGCTACGACTGCATCCGGAGCCACAGACGTAGCTTCGAGTTGCTGTCTAGAGACCACTGTCCTTCCTGACTTCCGAGGAACAACAACAGATATGATCTTTGCTAGAGGAGATGCATCATGAATAAGAAGCCAAGATCTGGCTGGCCACGGAAGAGAACAAGCGAGTGCAAAACTTTTGAGTCCAGCCTTGGTGAATAGTGCTGCTCATGCTTCTGCGCATGCTGAGCGACACCGGAAAGTGCCAGGAATGTTGTTGGACATTGGCAGCTAGCAGTGTTTCGTGAATCCATGTGAGCGAGACGCTGGAAACAATTCTCGTGCATGGCATGGCTAGCTGGTTTGCAGTTCTTTTTAAATTTAACTTGAGTTACAGTGCCAGGGCCCAGCAAGTCATGGGATCTAGACGGGTGGGTCCTAGCAGCTGCCAGCCTGCAAACCCAAAGTCGAATGAATTTACATCCTGCAAACGTCTTTGCAGCGATTCGACATGGCATCTTGAATCGGTATTGAATTTTGTCTATATTAGAAGAATTGTTATTCCTTGACAAAACTTCACGGACTTTCTTTGACAAATATTTTTATTCAAAGTACTAAGAAGGCCCTGCTAACCTGGGGTCGGTGAACCCAGGGGTTATGATGTGGAACAGGTGGTGAACCGGTCACCCTCTGATATCTTACCTCCTGCGGCCCGGAAGAGATAACATAAACTCAAGGCAGAAGTAACCATGATCTACCGAAATGACGAACACATCAACATGATGTGCTTTGGCAGGCTGATTCAAGCTAACGTGTTACATGTTCAAAGCTGGCTAATCTGTTCAGCCAGACGCAAAGTGACATGCTATATGTTCATGGGTACTACATCTGTTTGTTTGTTTCTTCATTTTTAAGGGGAGATTTACCTCCCAACTTATTGTAATGTCAGTTACTTGAAATTGCAGACCTGTTACAGCAGGTGCTTTATCAGTTGCGGTCACTCACCTCCTGTTCTTCAATACAATGCACTTGAACTCAGTCAATATGAGCAATAAAATAATTATATATGCTACAATAATGGATATTCTCAAGGAAGAAGTTTGTAGGATGATTCCGTTACTGGAAACACGTGCTGCTAAAGTTCTGTTGATAGATCTAGATGCCATGAATGATCAGGGGCATCTGAGGCCTTAGAATATAGTCTGCAACTGTATCACTCGGCACAAATGCATGAGCTCACAGGCATCATTCATTTTTTTCTTGAAGCAAGTACATGTACTACAGAGTACATTTTCTGGCATCACTCCACTGGATTCTGAACGGAGTATCTCGACTCCAAATTGTACATGCCGTCCTCCCCGGATCTCACTGAGACGCAGACAGCGGACACAATATTCTTCAGGAATTAAAAAGAGGTTAGGATATAAGTATATGCCCTGCGTTAGACTGCACATGGCCCCTTTTGTGTCACTCGCGTACTTTGAGAAACGATAGCGTCACCTGGATTGAACCAGGACCCAGCTTTCATCATGAGACACCAGCGAGTTCAAGACAGGTAGCGAACAAAACTGCGGAATCAGTGGGCATCTCGTGCGAGGAAAACATTATTTAGCGGATCTCCGAACCGACCATGAGCGCTTTGTTGTCTTGAGCACTGTGCGAGCACTCTTCTTAAGATAGTACTTCACTTCGATCGAGCAGAGAATTACGATCGCGCTTTTGGATATTCCCAGTACCTGCTTGCTGCTTTATGCGGTACTTAACCAGTGCACCGCACTCTTTCCATCGCTTGGGACAGTCAGTCATCTGTCACAGCAAGATCAGATGTTCGAACTACTGTAATCACCAGCGGCTGGTGATTACAATAGTTGCTGCTGCTGCTGCTAGGATGATTTGCTTGCCTGATTCTACCATCGAGTGAACATCAGTGATCGTGAGTTCTTGTCAGGTTCTATATTAGACCGGATCTGGCACCTGTAACCCCAAGTATGTTCATGTGCTGATCATTGCGTAAAGTGGCCTTGATCATTGAGCAATAGCACAATGAATGACGAGGAGGAGGACTAGAGGGACGCGACCACTTCCCTGATGAAAGCCCTGATGGATCGTGTGCTCGAAGACCACGAGGACGGGCATGGAACAGGCCATCGATGGCAAGGTTCCAAGACCTGTTAAATGTGCCAAGCTAGTTTCTACAGACTTCAAGCCACATACCATACAATACCCCATGGCCAGGGCGTGGATCGTGGTTCGAGCAATTTGAGTTTGATAGTCTCATTTGCCTTTCCTCAATCAGATCTTGAAGGGTAGATCTATGATCCTCGTCATGGAATTTCATCGCTGTCATCAAATGATGCTAAGGCTGCTGGTGTTCATGGCTGTCGTGTTCGACATGTCTCCGGTGAGCTTGGGAATGCATAATAGTTCCAATTTGCAGTCATTCAGTCGCACGAGTACCCAGTACTGTGCACATCGAAGAAGAGGGAAGACTCTCAAGTGAAGAAAACAGGAACGCAGGAGAATCAGTGGCCGCTAAGAGCGGAAACAGCTCCAGGTCGAAATATGCCGTGAAAGCAAGTCGAACCCATAAGGGGAGAAAAAAAGAGCTCAGCTCGTGAGATCGATGAGGTTAGATCGAGGGGTTATGCCTTTGTCGCTGCCATGGTCTGGTCTTCGCATCTTGGCTAATGCAGGCGGCTGATGGGCTACTGTATGTCGCGACACCGATACCAAGAAGTTGAGAATGAATCCGATTGAATGGCCCATGGCGGAATCGCCCATGTACGTGTGACGTCTGCCCCCACACACGCACGCATGACTAACGGGTGGACCTCGCTGTAGGTTCTATCATGCACAACTCTTGGAAATTGGAATGTTTGAAACTCCTTGCTCTGGAATCCCGCTGACATAATTTCGATGGCATCTAGAAATTGAGATAGCCGAAGACTTGTTACTGAAGTAGAACCCGTTTAAATTAATATTGTCTAACTTAATAACCTGTGATAACTAAGTCCTAAGTCGGAGTGTGTGTTTATTAATAATCTTCACAAGTTAATAATTAATATTTCACAAACAGTACTAAATTTTTTTTACATTAATAACCACTGTAGAGAAATGACGTGGGTTGGGTTGTGAGGGGGTGGAGATCGCAACTGAGGTGGATGGATACAAAGTACATGTGTAATGTAACTTTTGATGTGATTGTCCCGACTCGGATTCTTTCTAGTGGCAGTTTTGCCAAGAAAATTGTTTTATATCTTTCGTGATCACATCAAAATTTCAGGTTAGTAAATTTCATATTCATGTTATTTCTTACTACAGAATCTCCAAAATCACAAGCTTTTAAAATATAGTATTTTAAAAATTGTTTTCACCACTATCAAGCTTAAATTTAAAATTAATACAAGTCTTTATCGACTTGGTCAATTTTTATTAACGCTTCTATCTTCCAAATTTTTTCTTTCGAATCAAACATTCAAATGAAAAAGGGCTACTTGAAATATAATCATATAAACTTTATCGTGCTTCTTCTAGTCATTGTACCCCCATATAGTCTTTATTCCATCATTGCCTTACACAGCCAATAACATTTAGATTCAAGAAGATATGACGAAATGGTCGTAAATACACCTTCAACACTCTGATAATTCACAATTCTGAGTCTATGATAAGAAGACTGTTATCTGTGCAAAGCGATCATACTCGTAGCCCATAGCATGCAAGAGATCACTTTGAACTTAAAATGTTACAAATTAGCTGATGCATGAAATGAAATTCCGTTAGCATGGTGACCATATCTTCATATTCCCAGTGTCAAAACCTACAGCAAGTAGCCATAATGCTAATTACATCCTTCAATCCTTACGTCTTTTAACTATGTCGAGAGCCTGAGTTTCACCTCCAGTGAGAACAACGCTAACTGGACCACCATGCTAACCGAACTAGGGTGGCGTAACAGAATTTTTTTGACATATTTTCCTGTATACCTTTCGGTTTTGTTGTACTCTGCTAATTCGAGTATCACGTGAGGTACAATAAGACGCAAACTCAACTAAGACTCAATGGTAGACACAGATTATACGGCGTATAGTTCAAACTGCTACATACGGCCTCCGAGGTGCAAAACCTTCCTCAGTCTGCGAGTGACGAGACAGACGAGAAAGAGACGAGGAGTTTGGAAGGTCAGTGATTTGTGCCCTTGAGCTTGACTTCAGACTCCAAACAAGTCTTCCTACTAATTGCTTGCACAAATGCCCGTGTGGACACGTGCTCCATTCATGATATGCATTCGACGTTCGAAGGTACTCGTTTATCCCGGACGCACTACGAGTTAAGAGGCAGAAGTATGAAGTCTCCGGAAAGTTTAGAGCTGAGTTGAGAGTTGGTCGTTGGATTGGTATCCTTCTTAATTATGAGATCCGATGAGCTTGAGTCGGAGTGGTCCACGACCACGACAACGCAAGTTGATGGAGCCGGACAGCCAGCGCTGGCTATGGCGAGTATCCTCGAGCATGAGATATACACAACGAGCCCTCGATGCAAACACAACGTAGGAACTAATTTCCAGTTTGAAATCATATTCCTTCCAGAATATGCGCGAGCATGTACGAGCCAGAAAACTCGGACTCCCGATCATGATCGACATGAAACAATCTTTGTGCCAGCCAGCAGCATCAATATTCCAAACCACGTGTATCTCAGCACAACAGAGCCTCGGAACCTTGCCCTGAAGGTGCAAGGTTACAGACAGTGCCGCAGTTGATGACTGCTCTGTATACACTCCCACCCTCCCTCCAGTACATGCCATTGCTGCGCATATGTAGATGGATTCGTATTATATGCTGGCTGCTGGCTGCTGACTCAATCTTTGAGCAAATCGACTTGTTCCTGCGGCCAGGTGAAGGTGAAGGATCGGAGATACATTGACAAGTCAATTCCGGGATTCTGGCCTAGTCGTGGCCGTGGCTATGGCTATGGTCATGGATGAATGTCTCAGAGTCATCTGTTTAGTCAATAAGTAGTAATCCGTGGGTTCCCTAGCTCTCGTGAGTAGTCATGATAATGATTTGGAACAACACATCATTCTTCGGATCGTAGACGTGTAG